CCCTAGGCAAGTCAGTCTGCTAGCCTCTGTAAGAGACTCTGGAAAAATTATTTAAGCTCTTTTAGGCCTGTAAGTAAAATATAGTAGATTATGTAGAAGTGGCCTCCAAAATTTGTCCTTATCTTTCTTTCTCATAATTTATAGCTGGCTTCAACAAGCAACTCTGTGTCCATAACTTCTGATCTCTAACTTCTGTTTGATTTTCTCTTGAGCCCTAACTGTAACCAGTGGGTCATGCCAATAGAGAGGATGCCCCTGTTGCTAATCAACCTTTATGTATTTAAAACCATCGGAAAAAATAATTGAAAACCATTATGTGTTGAGAGTGGTGCTGTCCACTCTTACCACCAGTACCACTATTCTCCCAGAAATCTAGAGATGAAGTCTTGTTTAAGTTTCTCTTCCTCTTCCCTTACTCCTGACATCTGAGTGTCCCCAAGCTTCTTTGAATTCCTCCTTCCTTTCCACTTTTCACTGCCACAGTCTTGACTTCATTAGCAAGCCTAACCATTGCACTAGCAACATCCCAGCTCACCTATCATGAACCTCTTAAATGATGATATTATCAGATTAGTCCCCATCCCTCCCTTGTCCCACTGCCTGGTCTAGCCTTCCATGTTCATTTTGCTCTTATCCCTGGTTAACCTCTCCACTCTATTCCTCACCACCCTCCCTCTTACATTTTACATGTACATGTCAAGTCAAACCTCTCCCTATTCTCACACAAACCATGAGGCAGCCGACTGAGTATGCAGCTTCCTCTATCTGGAACACTTCCTCTGTTTTCAGAGGTCCAAATACTGCTCATCCTTGAATGCTCTGTTCAGATGCACTGTTCTCTACAAAATTTTCTCTCCCCTTTGGTTGGAAATGATCTCTGTTTGACATGAACTTACATAGCATTTTGCTACTCTTCTAAGCACTCGACAATTTCTACCTTGTTTGTATAGTTATGCATCTTCTCTCTTCTATGTGGTAGTCTTGAGGGTGTAGAAACTAGTTGTGGCTTATTCTTACATGTCCCACTGTTCTTAACAGGAAGTCTTCAAACATATAACCAAGTGAATAAAAAAAGAAAAAAATGAATGGGAGGCCAAAAAGACAGATCAATGGGAAGACAGAAGAACAGAAGCAGCAATAGCCTACCACCAGCAGCTTGAATGAAATTTCAGAATGCTAAGCAGTAGGCATCTCTCTATTACAGAGATTTAGAGTAAGAAAATTAACTGACTATAGTCACAACACGTTAGAGAAGATTTTTCCAGGACACCAGTTATGTGAAAGAAACAAACTAATACCTCCTTGATGTTCAGATCCACACATTTTTTTTTTTTTTTTTTTTTTAGTTTAGAATAGTTTAGAATTGTTCATTTTAACCAGGAATGCTAAACAGGGGCTGCCTCACCGGAGCTGCAGAGTCTTTGTGTTGTAAACCTCTTAGATAAATTTAACTGATAACTTCTGCAAAAGGACTGACTTTGTGTTCATTAAAGAATAGATTACAGGAAAACAGCTTTGCATTCACCTAGGTCATAAAATGTTAATAGGCTCCAAGGCCAGAAGATAATGTACAAGACCCTCATAAACAAAGAAGTATGCAGAAAACACCCTGGTTTTGTGAAGAACTAGCTGATGTAATGTTAAACTATCTTCCCCTTAGAAATGTACTAATTTAGGGTATAAAAGCCACGGTAAAAAATAAAGCATTTGCCAGACTCTGCCAGACTCTGCTGCACCCCCCATCTGGTCACTCTCTCTCTCTGTTTTTCTCTCACCGATGCCGTTCACCCTGAGGGTACCCCTGGATCCTGCCAAGCCTGGACCCCGGCAGGTGGGTGCTATTATTTCCATCTTATAGATGTGGAAACTGAGGCTCAGAGGGGCTGAGTCACTTGCCCGAGGCCACACAGCTAGAAAGAAAAAAAGAAAGGGAAGTGGCTCAGTCGTGTCCGACTCTTTGCAAGTCCATGGACTATAGCCCATCAGGCTCCTCTGTCCATGGAATTTTTCAGGCAAGAGTACTGCAGTGGGTTGCCATTTCCTTCTCCAGAGGATCTTCCCGACCCAGGGATCGAATTTTGATCTCCCGCATTGCGGGCAGACGCCTTACCTAATCTGAGCCACAATGGAAGCTTCCACACAGCTAGAAGTGACTCAAATTCAACTCTCTTCTCACAAAGTAGTTGTTCTTCACCACATCTCTCTTAGTTTCCCTCCATATCACCCCTGTGTTTAGCAAACAGCCCGGCTCTTTGGTAAATACTGACAGGAAAACTCAGGGACTTCCCAGATGAAGTTAGTGGTAAAGAACTTGTCTGCCAGTGCAGGAGACGTAAGAGATGTGGGTTCCATCCCTGGGGTTGGGAAGGTCCCCTCGAGGAGGGCATGGCAACCCACTCTGTTATAGCCACGCTTTCCGGGAAACAAACTCACTCAGAAGGACAACGCAGATAGTGGAGTGCAGTTTATTACACCAGCGGGCCCAAGGCAGAGTCTCCTCTTAGCCAAGGGCCCACACATTTCTAAAAGTTATAAATTAATGGAAATAAGGGTTTTTTTTTTTAACAATACAGGATTTTTGTGTTTTTTTTTTAAAGAATTACTGTTAATGAGGCAGATGATAGGGTAAGGAGCTGGAGATATGCTAATAAAGGAATTTAGTATATTCTCTTCTAAACTTGAATTTTTGCTTGTACTCGGCAATCCACAAGTCCTCAGCACCAACCCTTTAAAGATGTTGCTTAACTCAAACATTTCACTTATAAGCTTGTCTCCTTAAGAGTACCTTTTAAAAATCAATCAAAATCTCAGCACAACTGCAAGTTTTTGCACTTAAGCAGATAGTTAGAAAAGCATCCTTAAGGAGAAAAGAATAAGAGTTTAAAATCAACTACCATATAACCAAAAACATGGATAGATCAATGCCAAGCATTAGTCTTCATAACTTGTCAGTTTCAAAGGCAGAGAAATGGATGAATGAAGGTCTGTCAGTGCTGGCCCTTTCATTAGTGATGTGGGCATCTGCTTCTAATTGCAGAATGTTAATTTCTTTAGAGAAGCAAAGTACAATTCTGGAATGTGCATGCCTGGATTAGAGATCAAGAAGAAAAAAGAAAAAGTCCAAGTGGCTTCCCTGGAGGCTCAGTGGTAAAGAATCTGCCTGCCAATGCAGGAGAGACAGGTTTGATCCCTGATCTAGGAAGATCCCACATGCCATGGCCCAACTAAGCCCATAAGCCACCACTATTGAGCCTGTGCTGAGAGCCCGGGAGCTGCTCGAGAAGCCACCACAATGAGAAGATCACTCACTGCAACGAGAGAGTAGTCCTCCCTCGCCGCATCTAGAGAAAAGCCCATGCAGCAACAAAGACACAGTACAACCAAAAATAAACAATAAAAAATAATTTTTTAAATAGTCAATGTCCCACAAAAATAAAAAATCACAAATGTCTACAAGAGGAAAGGGTGATTAGAACATTACTAATTTTTCTTTGTGAATTTTGTCCTGGCCTCTATCAGTACCACACAGTTCCTCAGCATAGAAAATGAAGAGTTCCAATCTACATTTAAAAAAAAAAAGTAATTCAATTCCAAGGAGATACAAGGCAGGCACTTGGCAATGCCTTAAAGGAAGAGTGTTAAACGTTTTTTGTTTGTATTACTTTGGTTATACAACATGAAGTTGTTCTTATACTTGTGAAACTATGAAAATGAAGAGAAAAAGGTGTTCCTGATAAATTAAATAGAAACTGACTTGCAAGACCTCCATTACAGTACATAACAATTTCCAATGCAACTTTTGCTTGGATTTCAAGGTTGGATACCACTTTAAAGTCACTTTGAGTAGCACTTATTGATCCACAGATATGACACATATTAATCACTGTTAGTTTAACTATAAAGAACCATGAATAAAGCCCCCTGGAGTTGACAAAATATAAGATATAAAAAACATGTATATATACTCTAGCTAACAAAGGGGAAAAAATCCTTACTCTGGATTAACAGCTTCCATCAACATCCAGGCAAAAGAAATTAAACCAAGAGCAAGGCTACTTCACAGCAAGATTTATTAATACATCCAAAAGAAAGAAAGAAAAATCATTTTGTCACACTATATACAGATAATACATACAGTGTTTTATACACATATTACATCAGTTTTTACACAAGAAAAATATACATAAAAATGTAAACTTTTGTATACAAAAACCCTTAAACAAATTAAACAAGGACCAGAAAACAAAAGGAGACCAATCCATTATTATTTCATCAAATTTTGAAAATGGTAATACAGTACATTCATTGAGATATACATGGAAAATGTGAGCCATCTCTTCTTGTTTAAAGGGAAATTACAAACCAAAGCCCATCATTTCCCCAAATGTGGTCTCCCCACCAGCAATAGCACACCCAATACCATGGATACGCCTTTCCTCAGAACTGGGGGCCCCATCCCCAAATCTGCCAGTCTCATCTTGCTCCTACAATCTGTGTAGAAACAAGTGGCTTCTAGCTTTTGTGCATATAACTAAGCTTCTAGCCGCTACTAACACAGGGAAGAGTCTGTTTGTAAGTTCCCTTTAAGCAGCTTTAGATTTTTGTATATATATTCTCATGTATGGCCGGCTGAACATACGTGTGTGCCAAGGTGGAGGAGAACGCTGAAGAGGAAGGGCTTTGAGAACGGCTCGTCCTTGCTACCGTGCAGCTACTGTTAGAAGAGATTTCAAAACTGTGCAACCTGGTGTTTTACCGGTTTTGAGTATGTTACCTCACCTTTGATTTCCCACTGCAACTTGGTTTCAGCGCACACTTCAGTACTCTGGTTAGTACCATACAACTGCCAAGAGGCTTCTGTTAAAGGCTGCTTCTGATATCAAGTTTCAGCTAAGCTATTCTGTGAAATCCCTCAAACCCCAACTTCTCTATTTGTGTCTTCAGGGGTATTCTTACTCCATGTGTTTTTTGTTAACATCTTACAATTTAGGATTGTCCATCTACACTCTTCTCTCTAGAAGGTCTTGAAATGAAATCTGCTGCCAACTCATCACAAAATAAAATACTGAACAGTTTTTTCTTAGTATTCTTCCATTTAGCATGTCAAAAAATACCTGAAGCTGTGGGGAGTAAGAATTAAATCTAGGTCGGGTACATGCAGACTTGGAGTTCTTAAAAAAAAAAAAAAATGTCTGGGAAGACCTTTGACTAAATAAATGTAAAACCTGCTTAAGATAGCTGTCTTTTCTCAAAGTTGAATTTTGAACAAGGCAGAATAACAAGTAGGTGATAAATTTCCCTGCAGCTAGAGAGTAGTTAACTTCCCCCAGGCAAATGATCTCAATGATCATTAATTATTAATGAAAGGAAGAGGCAAATTGGTGAATTAAGTTGATCTGGGAGATGGTGGATGACATGCGGTAATGGAAATGTTAGGGTTGCTTTATAACTGAAATAAACAGGCTGGTTTGTGGTATATCTCCATTTCAGAGAGAGGAAGACACAGGAGGGTCCTCAAGTGAGTCTCCAGTTCTCTTCCTCTCCTGGGATAGGTGGCATCTAAAAAATGACAGTCTCCCTTTCAGTTAAAAAAAAATAATAACAATAAAAGGAAAAGGAGGAGAAATAAATAATGTGTGGACCTCTTTAGATGAGACTTCTAAATGTTCTTTAAATAACTTTTGATAATGTATTTTAAATCATTACATACAACTGCCATCGCAGTGACAATATTCCAGTAGGGGTAGCATTTTGCTAAATGTAAAAGATTGCCATTTAAAACTCATACATATACATGTGTATATACAATATATCAACACTATTTATATACATATATATCTAGAGAGCAACATTTCATTGCCTTTGAGTATCTATATATCCACTCACACAATATATACTAGAGACATACTGTGTGAGTATATAGGAAAGTATATGTACACATGCTCCAACATGTATATATACACTTCTGTTTGTGTGTGCATAAAAGCTTTAAAGGCACAATATATAGGGATGCAAGTTTTCTAGAGAGCTGCAGCAAAGTTAAAACAGAATGTCACAGATGTGAGAAAAGTCAAAAGGAAATATAGCAGAATTCATTACACAAGACTTCATTAAAGCAGTTTCATCATGAAGAAAATGAGTGATAGAATTCAAGAGGCTTTCCATTAAAACGAAAATGGCAAAAGTATGATCAAATCACAAAGTAAAACAAAATTTTAAAATGACAAATCAGTGACAATAAATGACAAAATAAATCTAATGCTAATGTCAATCATAAAATCACAATTATGTTTTTTCAATTTAAGTAAAACATCCCCAAATTATCTAGGTAAAACTTTCAAAGTAGTTCTGTTTGAATGTTGGTCTTTTGTTTATTGGTTGGTTGTTTTTGAGACAAATGATGCCCAATTCTCAAAATTACCATAGAAAGTATTGCCAAAATTTGTGTCTTCCGCGAAATTTCAGAGACAAGTGAAGTGTTAATGAAATATGGTTAGGCCAAATGATTCTGGCGAAAAGGACCTAATAAAGGAGAAAAAAACAAAGAAGTGTGATTTTTAAGTGGTGAGAGACCGACTTAGAAGTCAATGAAAAAGAAGAATAGTGGGACTGGCGAGTAAGCAGTTCTAAGAGAAATTCATAAACAAGACTATGATCCTAAGGACTGCCATCTTTGTATGCTCTGATGATTACGCTAGACTGTCCGTCTTCTTGCTTACAGAATAATCCGCAATTCTCCAAAGATGTATAATCTTGCTTAACAAAGGCTGTTTATCTATCATACACACACTTTTTTTTTTTAGGGAAATATATGTATATAGATTTATCTATACACACACATATACATACGTGTATATATAGATTTATACAAATGTATAAATAAACATAATACTTCTCAATCTTTCCATTGACAAGGCAAGTTCACATTCAGCAAAGTGCCACCACATCCCATATACACATCTCTGTACAGATATACACAAAAGGGCTTAGTTTCACCCTTCAATCGGGGGAATTTATTCTAGCAAATCCCATTAACCAATAACTGAAGGGAGAAATCGCACCAATACAACCCCCCTTCTTTCATTTGCATGCATATGTACAAGAAATACGCAGATTTTTTAAAAACCCATAAAGCAAGAGTGAATGAAACTGGGAGATGCTGCAAAAAATACAACTGTAAAAACAACATACAAAAAGCTTTCCTAGGTCTTGAGTCTATCTAAAATGAATGAGGCTTCAAAGATAACAACAAATCCAGATGTTATTTATCAGAAGTTGTTTTAACATGTTTCAAAGTACATGATTTTTTAATATTAAAAATAAATGTGATTGGAGCATTTAATAAAACTCTAGCTTTGACTATTTTAGACCACCAGACACTCCAGTAATGAATGTATAGCAAAAATGACAAAACTCAAAATACAGGAATGCATTTTTTTAAAAATTGCATATAAACCGGGTAAAAAGTCAAGGGTAGCATAATTTTCCTATAGCCAAAATATGGTGGTTTGGGGGCATGCTAACTTCATAAATAACAACACAACTGAGTAATTAAAAAAAAATTTGGAAATAACTGAAATCAACCCAGCTTTGAAATGTGCATGGTGAAATGATCCCACCAACTCTTTAAACAAAGGAGCCCCTTTAAAAATGGCATTCTTTATAAAAGGCCTCTACTTTTCTTTATTTCACCAAGAAAAGGTGATCAATATTTTATAACTCAGAATATGAAGAAATCTATTATTAACATAAAAAAGGTTCAACTGATCTCTGGTCCCATCACCCCAATAGATAAACACAGCTCATGTCCAGGTCTGTTTTTCTCTTATTTTTACACTCAAAAGCAAGAGGCTGGTCTTAGAACCTGCTGTTTCTTGTGTTATTTTAAAAACATAGCATAAGCTAATCAAAAGCTTGAAATAAAATGCACATGATATCAGAGTTAGCCTTTTAACATAACACAATCAAGAATTTGGTGTATTTATACAACAGAGACAATGAGAAAGGAACTCCAACGCCCTCAACTAAATAAATCATATTTCTACCATACATTCTGTTGCCTTTCTCTTTTTATGTAAGCACACATTCATCTCTCTCATACACGTGCCCCCAATGTATATTTTTGCATGTGTGTAAAAACACAGACAAATACATGCACACAAGTACTTTAATTCTATTTTTAAGTCACAGTGGGAATTCCTTAGTGAGGAGGGATAAAAAGTTCCTGAATAAGACACTGAGAACATCTAGATTTATTATTTTTCCTATTTTACTTCCCAACTTACAGAATAAACTGTAATTAAAAGAATAAATCCATAGGAAATAAAAGAGGTCTTAAAAACTTAATTTACAAATTCCAGCTACAGTAGTTGGGAGTTTTTACTTGATCTATGTATTTCTATTTACCCTGTAACTAAGCTTCTAGCCATCTTAAGTGTAAACCACAGATCATTTACTAAGGAAATGTGATTTCTCAACGGTTCTATGAGCAGTAATAAATGGTCTAAAGGTGTTCTACATTTTGAGGCCCCAGGATATCCTTCTATCTTATATATCTGCAAGGTAGCAAAGGATAGCTATACACCTTGACACGGCAGAGATCCAGTGTAAAAAGGTGCTTCACTAGTTTGTTTTGTCCAAAAAAAAAAAAAAAAAAAAGCTCATATATAATTTTTTAGCTATTAAACACATAGGCAACATAATTCATTACACTCAATACAGCTTTAGTATAAAACTTATAATTTATGAGGTGATGTTAATAGCATAAATTAATATACCTTTTCTCTTAAAATCTACAATAAGTATTCTGAAAGCTCATTGGGGAAGGAAATTTTTAAATAAAAGTTTTAAAGCTGTGCGTGGTGGGAAAGGATTCTGTATGCTGAGGCTGAGATGAGAGCCTGAAGGAGAAGGAGAAGCGTCCCAAGCAAGACACCATGGGCTACGGAACCAAACATTTTCTCTTTCCTGCGCTCTCTCAATGATGAGTCACCTTTAGTTGTTTTTAAAACTAATTTCTTATTTTAAAAACTGCCCTAATTTCCACAAGGAATCCCTGAGACATACTCAACACTATACAGTGAAAAGAATTATCACTGTTGAGAGGAACTGATTCAACCCTTCAGAGCAGATGAAGACAACATCCTAAGTACCAAACGTTCCCATCCCTTCCAGGCTCGTCAGGTGGAGCCAACTGTACTGCAATGATGCAGGGTGGAGTCATGTCAGGGCAAATCAGTCTATTCTCCAGGTAAAAGCAAGGGTGGCGTTTAAACTGCATTGGAGCCTTCTGCACTGCACGTTGAAAAGTTTTCCATGGGGAACTTTGGGTCCATACAGAGCCTACTTCAGTGGTCCCCAGCTTAAAAAAAAAAAGAACCAAGTGAAAGGGTTCTCTTGGGCCAGGAGCAGTACAGATCATGCATGTGTGTGTATGCACGTACTTCAGTGCTGGGGGTGGGCTGAGCAAGCAGGCAGAAGGGAAAAACGGAAGGAAAGCTGTGCTTCCCTACTTTGCTAAGAGTGAGACAGGGTTTCTCTTAGAAGACTGTTTTCCCAGACTGCATTTGAGATCACCACAACGCTGCCATTCAAAGTAGCCAAACAGTCCCAAGCTTTGGGAACCTGGGGGGAAAAAAGAGTCATCCCACATTTGCTCTTTCACTCTCTCAAATGCCACGTTTCCTTTTATTTGCTCTGTATCACGGTGCAGAGAGAGGGAAGCTAACAAAAATCAGAGTAGGAGTAAAAAGAATTTTTGCTATCTAGAAATAAGGCTAAGTTTGACCCACAATTTTTGCATTAATGACACTGGTTATTAGAAGAGACATAATTACTCTTTTATGTTTTATGTTTTCTTTCCTAGCTCACTGATTAGAGAAAAACTTGAGATATTCAAATATATTCTTCACTGATCTCTTATTACACATCTTTTGAAAGACAGTATTATTAAAAAAATGTGGCTTTAATTTACTAAATGTGGATTTTGTGTCCCTCCAATATATGATACTGGGCTTCCCTGGTGGCTCAGAGGGTAAAGCATCTGCCTGCAATGTGGGAGACCCAGGTTTGATCCCTGGGTCGCAAAGATCCCCTGGAGCTAATGAAATGGCAACCCACTCCAGTATTCTTGCCTGGAGAATTCCATGGACGGAGCAGCCTGGTATGCTACAGCCCACAGGGTCCCAAAAAGTTGGACACGACTGAGCGACTTCACTTCACTTCAATATATGTACGATATGAGAAATCTTTATAAAGTTCAAGGTATTAAGCAGTCACCATATTGTTTTACTTTTCTATAGAATGCCCATTAAAATTCAGTTGTTTTCAATGTATTGAGAGGAGGGGGGGAAAAAACCTATGTTCTGTCACATATATATCCCCACACTCATCCTTCTCCAAGAAATATAATTCTCGGCAGGAAAAAAAATCCTTGGAGCAATGTAGCTGTCTGCGATGAAACATTCGGACTGACTACACTTTCCTCCAGGGAATCCTTTAAATTGCCTCATTAAACTGCAGAATTCTGTTGACCATTTAAACGACCACTGCATTATTTCTATATACACCAGATTAAGAACAGAATTTAATAAAAGTGTTAAAAGAAGTCTAAAGAGAAAGAGGATGAAGAAACCAGAAACTAAATACCTAAACAAATTTTAAATGAATTTCAAACCTATTAGCTTGAAATGATAGTTTAGTGTTATTAATAGCCTCAGCTCTTTGCAATACCAAACCACAGCAATCTTTTCAACTAACTTGGAGAAAAAGGCAACTTGCCTCCCATAAACACTGTGGATCAAGCTACCACCACCATCTCCACCCCACAAAAGGCCGAGACACAGGAAGGACCGCAGGCCAAGTATCAGCGAACTTACACGATGGGTGTGACCTACACAGGCTCAAAATCTAGTGCCAAATGATAAAAGCCCAATGGTATGGATCAATAGAAATATTTTTTTCAGATAAGAAGAAAATCACACAGCTAGGGCAGCTGTGTGTATCATGGACACTGTCTTTGTCTCTGTGGATTACGATCATGGACCGAACGAGCTCTGATAAGGAAAAGCTTTAGTGTTAGTCACAGAAAATGATGCTGCTTAACTTGCAGTTGAGAGACTAGGCTTCTTTAAGAAATAAATCTTATAAATAATTATTTGGCAAAGATAAAGTATTCGCTTTCTTTAGCCTTAAAGCACTCAACAGACAATAACTATGATTTTAAGGAAAAGAAATTTTTTTTTCCAACTTTATGTCCATACCTACTCTTTGCTTCTCATTAAATTATACCCTTTTCATGGAGGGACACTAGGCACATCACACTGCCTGCCAACATGAAATTGCTCAGGAAGTCATTTATCAGACAGTTCTAGTTCACATGGTAGGTTACTAGAGAAAAGAATCCTTTGCCATATAAGCTATGTGGTGATAATTAGAAAATTTTTCCATTGCATAGTCTGTCACATGGTGGGTTACATGTAATTGCTATTTATTTACTATTGTGGATTGTTTACTAACTACATCATCTACCCAGATGTGCAAATTGCTAAGCCATTTGTACAGAGGAAAATCAATGTCTTAAGTACTTTAACTAAAATAATATTAACAGCTATGTAGAGCGTAAAGGAGAAAAACACATCTTTCCTTCGGATGCTGTAGATCACAGCCAGTGAGCATTATACATTAGCATGGAATTCAGATTCTCAGAGCACAGAATGTATCCATTAACTGCAGCAACTTTATAAATTGAATCACATTAACACAATCTAACTGGCCTTTATAAATGGTCCCAAAGAACTGCAGAAACAGTGAACCTTTTTTGCCACTACTTCTCATGAGCTTAACACTAAAATGAAAGCTAGTATCCACGTAATTAGATATAATCTTATATAAAATTTGTTTCTGATTCCAGTATTGCCTTATTGGAGCAATAAGTGCTATTTTAAAAGACACGAATTTTCATATTTCTGGAGTAAGGTATTTCATTCCTCTCTTTACATGTTAATAGCAAACCCACTACTAAGAGACTAAAATTGCTCCATTAGCTAAAACAACAACGTAACAGTTATCTCTGGGTTCACAGATGTTCTTCTCTTTCCAAAAAGGGACTCACAAGAAACAGCAAGAGTAAAGTGAATCGCAAGCTCGGATATTTGTTTTGAAGTAGACAAAGGGAGAAGAAAAATTTGTTTTTTTTGCTACTTTCTTAAATCTACACGGGTACTTTCTACAGGTGCCCTTTCTTCGGCTATTATTGTGGGCATCTACACAAAAACGAATTTACTCAAAAGTTTTTGGTGTGAAGCTGTAACTGGCAACATTCCTGATCATTTCATGCCTCCTTACCAGAAAGCAGGAAAGGGCTTAAAAATGCACAAACAGAAAATTGCAAACAATAAAATGTGCAACTTACTGCAAACTCAGTTTTGATAACTGAAGAATTTTAAGCAGCTACCACAAGGGACAAATTGCCAGAAAAATTCAAATCGACATCCCATGACTTTCCTTCACTGTCAAAGAAGGGCTGGTAAGAAAGTCAGTGTGTATGTACCACTTTTACCTCAGTAAAAAAGAAAGTCAACAGGCTGCTCTGCTACAACCTGTGATTAGCACACAATGGAGACAGAAGCGAATCACTAGGAATGGACAATTAGCATGTGATGGTTATAATGGGATGTGAAGAGTTCAGTGAACTAAATGACACTTTTGAGCCGAGGTAACTACTCGCAATCATTTCATTACAGTACATTAAAATTAAAAAGCTTACCAACATAGGTTCACAGGTGAGAAACATTCAAATTATCTCTTCTCACCATGCAGAATAAAAATTTACGGTGCTACCAAATATAATTTTGCTTTGTGACATAATTTTATAATTTAGAAATTTCTCAATCTGCAAAAAAGGCAAAGCTATTAAAAAATAAATCTTCCAATCAATTATCATGATTAAAAAAAAACTAAATATATTACAAACATATTTTTGGCCCACAAAAAGAAAACTTCAATAAATACAAAATAGGGCATATCATGATTTCATACAGTCATGTGACATTTCCCCTCCATAATCTCAGGCACGTAGTATCTGCATAATGCCTGCTGATCACCATCATTCCTTTAAAAAGCAGAGAAAGAAAAGCTTTCAAAAGAAGGGACTGGTTAGAATTAGCATGGCATAAAGAGAAATACATAGAGGAAGTAGGAAAATACATCCAAATCTTTACCTATTGAAAAGGAATTAAGATCAAATATTCCCTGACAAATGAATTATTATATCACATCATTAATAGATATGTTCTCTCTACGCATATTTTAAAATATATATATGTAAATTAGACTAGATTCAGGTATAAATAGCCAATGGTATCTCAAGGGACAGTGAAACTTCTCAGCAAAAGCAGAGAACAGATGCCTTTAAAATCTAGTTCCACCCTTGGGCGGAGGGTGGGGGATTGGGGAGAAGGCAGGTTAAAAAGAAACCTCACATGTTCATTTCATAGTCACCAACTTACTAAACTATCCAATATTTTTAACCTTCAAGATCTGGTATTTCAAAAAAATTCCCCAAACTTAAACCTAAATACTTAAAATTATTTTAGAAGTACCAAAGGGTAAGATTTATGTCTAGTTTCCATATTTTGCTTTGAAAGAAAATTTTAAAATGTGTATCCTTCAGATATTACATGTCACTTCACAACTGGTACATTGATTCTACAAGTGTCATTAACATTTTACAAACTTTACCAAAGAATCACTACTGTAAACATGAAAAATCCCAAAGCAAAAGATGGATCAAGGAGTTCACAGATCCCATCTCTTCAAACCAATCTTGAACTATCCTGCTTTTCACATCAAAATATTTTCTTTAATTACATCTTGAGAATATATTCCATGGGAAGAGGGATTAAGAAACAAATGCATGTCTAAAAAGGCAATACAACCAACCACCAGACCTCAGAATCGCAGCAACCCTGCAGTCCCTCTGGCCAAGCTCTTCACCACATCCGCAGGGCACTGATGTGAATTCAGCTTTTTGTGTTCTGGGCTAACTTAGCAGGAAAGGGTTGTGCTACTCACGCCGCCAGACCGCCACCCTTCTCCATTCACCAAGGTTGGCTAACTCAGTGGGAAAGAATGACCAACCTTATTAGGGCTCTGAGATGTGGGAAAGGAGAAGAGACTTCTACTTATTAGGAAATAAGAAAAAAAAAACACCACCACCAACAACCATGGGACAGCTGCTTCCTGCCCTGCACAGAAATACACGCGTGGGTGCACACACACAGACAGGCAGTCAAAAGACTAATTCTTTTTCTTTTTAATTAAACATGATCACAATTAGGAATGGAATCCTGGCCTCATGTGGTGTTTGTTGAGCAGTTGGTGCTAAGTCAGAGGCTTGAATCTGCCTCTGCACACCATTTGCCATCTCTTACACAGAACTCGATGAACAGGCTCATTCTAGCTAGAACCACCTGTGTAAAGACCTGGTACCAGAATGGAAAGCACTGATCTGCAATACTAGGAAATAGTAAAGGGCACTGGTAATCTGAGGTATCTTCCACTTCTAGGACTTGCTGCTGAAAGTCGATTCTATCCAGTCACTGTGCTGAGCCGCTAAGGAAACCACTGGGGGGAGGGTGGACCCGCCAGGAGGGAACGAGCACCAGTGCCAAGGAGCACATGTGAACACTGAAGCGAGGTCCACCGCAGGGGAACTTGTTTTAACTGGAAAGGGTAGTTCTCCTCTAGTCCCCGTCTGTTATTTTTAAAATCTTCTTTAGGAAAAAGGGGAGAGGGGGGCGGGTGATAAAGAGGGGAAGGAAGATAGAAAACACCAGGTTCCCCACCTGCCTGCAAACACACAGACACGCTCAGTTAGGGGAGGTGAAGGGCGAGGACGCGTTATTGGTACTTGTAGCTGTGGCACCGGTTACTGTGAAGCCTGTGGGAGGCGCTATCGAGCTGTGGCTGGGCTGCAGGTCCTTGGGAATGCCACTGTGAGAACTCAGCTGGTGGCCGAAGGCTGCGCTGAACTGAGGGAGTTGCTGCTTGGGGGAGGTGGAGGCCAGCAGCTCAGCGGAGGGCCCCATGCCGCTGAAGCTGGTCTGCGGCAACCCCGGCAGCACGCTGGAGCTGCTGGGGGTCACGGTGGCGAAGGCAGGCTGTGTGGTCTCTGAGTTCGAAGTGGTGGGCGGCGTGGAGAGGGACGTGGAGAGAAGGTGCCCGTCGGCGACGAGGAGGTTGCTGAACGGAGAGGGGTCTCCGAGGCTGACGGGGAGATTGCCCCAGTGAGTTCTGGGGTTCACGACCCCTCCGAGTGGCACCTCGAGTGGCGTCGGGAGCAAGTGCGGCGCCATGACGGGCATCTCGGCTGAGAAGGTAGCTGCCATGTTGTCGCCAGAGTAAGATGTCGTGTGGGGAGAGGTGATGTGGTCGCTGTAGGGAGACGGCACGTGCTCGCTGTCGTAATGGCTTCCAGGGGGCGAGGAGTGTGAGTGATCACTGCTGTATTGCTGTCGTGAGGTGATTAGGTCATCTGCCTTGCTCAGCAGCTGGGCAGGATGTGGCCTCTGGGAGGCATGGCTGCCATCATGAAGTCCATGAAACTGTCCTGGGAAGGCTCTCTCCCCAAGGGCACTCTGGCTCATCAGAGTGGCAGAAGTAAGGCCGACGCTGGCGGGGGCAGAGAACTGCCCCTGGATCTGCCCTGCCAGGGGTGTAGGTGGGTTAGACAAGGTAGCCGAACGGAGCAGGCTCTCATCCAGCTCTAGGCTAGAGAAGTTGTCGTGGACTATACGCCCGTTCAGCAGCTCCCCCAGGTCCGTGTTGACCTCTCGGCTCAAGGACGGGATCCCCGACGCGCCCGTCCCCGTGGAGAACACCCCTATTCCTCTGTCTGACAGCTCCTGGACGGGCACACCATCTGACTGGGTGAGCACCCCAATGGTACTCAGGCACTCGAGAGAAGTCACGGCCTGCAAGGCCCGTTCAAGTTCCTCGGCCTCTTCGGTGGTGGGGAGGAGGTCTCCGTTCTTTCCTGGGTGAACAAGAGCTATGGACAAGTCAGCGGGGCTTCCACCATCCTGACCACGAAAACCACACACTGGAACTATCTGTCACGACACTCTACTAAGGACCGGGTTGGAGGGCAAGAGCGACATATGCACAGCAGGACAGGTGAGCCTGAGCCACATCTTCGGATCACCGACATCACTCTCAGAGCCACCTCAGCACAGTGTTCAGTGCTCAGGAATCTAAGGATTACCTATTTAAAACCCGGGCTGACTATCTGATTGCAGGCATGTTTTTACCCAAAGTTATACTAAGATGTTAAAAGAGAAAACGTATCAATCGGTTCACATTTGAGACAAAAGGCTGTGCAGGAGCCCCGTTAGCGCTTCTGCTCTTGGGCTGTTGCAGCTGGAGGGACAGCCATGAACCCAGAACACAGAACTCACACATATATCTCAGCACAAAAGCAAGCGCTCAGCTCACTTCGTTGGTTACCTTTTCCCATGTTTCTGCGTTACTCTCTGCTCCTCCCCTCTTACACGTCTCCCATTTCTAAGGAATTTTCATAAAATGGAAGCTACACTGATTTCCTTTCCAATATCAAGAAATCTACTGTTAGGAACTGGAGTAATCACTGTTAAAATATCCAGTTTTTAATGGTGAAGGAAACATTCTCAGAGTAGAAAAGATTTCCCTTGAAAGCACTAAACAGTTGGTGGGGTTAAGCAAACTTTGTTGTGGAAAAGTGCACTTCAACTGAAGTACAGGGTGGGGTATCAAAAGAGGACAAGTTCTGAAAAGTTCAATAAACTCAAGTTTAAAACATCTTTATTCAAAAATAAACTAAAGTAGGGACATTCCCTGGCCGTCCAGTGATTAGGACTCGGCACTTTCACTGCCATGACCCCTGGTCAAGGAAGTAAGATGCCACATGCCATGCAATGTAGTCAGAAAGAAAAGGTTAGAAAATAAACAAACTAAAATTACTGATTTTGGGCTTCCCTTATGGCTCAGTTGCAATGCAAGAGACCCGGGTTCAATCCCTGGGTCAGAAAGATCCCTTGAAGAAGGGAATGGCAATACACTTCAGTGTTCTTGCCTGGAGAATTCCATGGACAGAGAAGCCTGGTGGGCTACAGTCCAGGGGGCTCAATTTAGCGACTAAACCACCACCACCAACACCACCACTCATTTTAAAGGAATAACGTTATAAGCCTAGCTATCAAACCTACTGATTTACTAAGCCTATATTATCATTTAAAAAAAATGTATACCTTCTAAAGAGACTAAAACAGCTTCAGCACTTTATATTTTCTGTCCACATTACATGTAAGGAGGAATACTTTGGACACATTTAAAAAAAAAATTCATTTGAAAAACCAGTTTTCTTGAATCAAAATACTGACCGTACCTTCAAAAAAATCGAAATCTTGTAAGTCATCAGGTAGCCGCGGAAGGACGTCAGAGAAGTCCTCCTGGTTCAATTCCAAGTCATTTGGAATGTCGGTGATCTCATTGGCAATGTCATCCGGCAACTCATCAGCGCTCAGCTCCGGTGTGGATGGGCTCCTGGGGAAGATGACACGGTTGGCCCACCACTCCCACTTTACCTTCACACCAAGTCACCAGAAGCAGAAATGGAAAATCCTAACTCAAAATAATCTCCTTGCCTACTTTAAGATCTGAAACCGGAACGGCAGACCTCACCATATGCAGTCACATATTTCTGCAACTTTTCACCCATGTATTAAGAGAAGGAAACCATTTTGAGATACTATTTTTACTGCAAATTAGTAGAATGAAGTGCAATTTGGTGTACTAGTAGAACGAATTACAATCTGGTCTATCAAGTGTGTCTTACTACTTTCTGGTAGAATTTTAAATCTGGTCAAAATAATTTTTAAAAAAAGATGAAAGAGATAAAATTGAAATTTGCAGCTGAAACAGAGGCATCATTCATTGGGTCAAAATGCTTACCCCTGTCAAAATTAATAATGCATCACATTTCTGATGGCATGTTTCTGTTGGAACATATATGCAATTTCTGTTGAAACAGAAAAATCTGAGAATAGACAATTAAGCTCCCCAAATCAGCATCTGCTCTCTTGGGTTTTAATCAAAAACTTTACTTCTGATCTAAACACATCAGGTATCTGGTAAAAATGCTACTGGAAACTACAGAGTCTAGGCTGATACACCACAGGGGTGCCTTTAGCCTACTTCCAACAGGAAAGGAAGCCGATGTTCTGAGAACAACCAGAACAGGAGACGTGAGCCCTGGCCCAGTCACTGACCGCATGTGGGAGGCCGCCACTGGCAGTGAGACGCTGGTGGGCATGCTGAGGTTCCCCTGGGGCACTGCAGGGGGGATGGGCTTCTGGGGTCGACGAGGTCCACGCCTTCTCTTCTTCTTGTGTTTTTTGGTAAGTGCAGGAGGCTTGGTTTTTTTCCTGGGTTTCCTCTGCTGCTGGTGCTGAACTTTACGGGAGCTATCTCCTCTCAAGAAATTATCCTTTGGAAGGAATAAACAGGTATTTTTAAACTCCGATTATTTGGGAAAAAGCAAACCACTATCTGAAAAACATATTTATATCTCTTTTTATACAATGCCCCAAACTATGTATAACAATAATTAAATGAATAAGAAATTCATTTGAAAATTTAATTCACATCAATTCAATATATACATAAAGCTCATTCCACACTTATAGGCACTGTCACAGGTGCTGTAGTATAAAAGAACTGAATAAAACTTGATGTGCACTCCAAGGGAACTTACTTGGTATCCCATGGGAAAAACATGAATACGAGTATACGTAAATACTATAGGAAGAACTGAGTGATGATGATGTAAATACCTTCTAAGGGTATGCAAATGGAAAATCCATTATCTGTAGTTATGTGGGATTAAAGGATAAACAGGACTTTCAGTTGTTGGGATGGGGGGAAGATCACTCTAAGCTAAAGGAAATAGCACAAATGAGACAAAAAGGACAGCAGACAACTGGGTACAGACTTGCGTGGGGATATAATGGAGGGTCAGATATAAAAGTCAGCTGTAAGGAGGTCTGGCGCCAGCTCCTGTGTGACTTATGACTCTGAATACTCTGCTCAGGATTTTAAACTTCATTTTATAGGCAACGGGGAATGGTTTTTGATGACAGCAGACAGTTTTAAAGGATTAACTGGACTTCCCTGATGGTACAGTGGATAAAAATCCGCCTGCCAATTCAGGAGACACTGGTTCGATCCCTGGTCTGGGAACATCCCACATGCGGCGGAGCACAACTAAGCCTGTGAGCCACAACTACTGACCTGCGTTCCAGAACCTTCGAGCTGCAACTACTGAATCCCATGTGTTAGAGGCTGTGCGCCACAACAAGAGTGTAGCCCCTGCTCTGTACAGCAAGAGAAAGACTGTGTGCAGCGCCGAAGACCCAGCGCAGCCAAGAAATGATAGGAGTAATAATAAAAGGATTAACTATCCTGGTAGGAGCAACGTAAATGAATAAAGAGGAGAGGCAAGTGAGTGAAGGCAAAAATTCCAATCAGAGGGCGATTTCAACAGATACTAGAAGATAAACAGCGGAGGGCAAAGTGAGCAAGAACAGAAAAGCAAGGGCTTGCTGAGAGAGAATCCTCACGCTATGACAGCTGCATGGAAGTGGTGAGGATGAGGGGAAGATAGAACTCTCAAGTGTTTCTAGTTGAGGTGATTGTTAGGTGAGGATGCTGTTCGTGGGATACAGACCACAGCAGAATAAACAGAATCAGAGTTGAGGAATTCAGCTGGGCTCACAGATAGTTTGAGGTGTGAAGATGGCCAGGAGCGGCAGGAGAAAATTGAGTCTGGTGCACAGCAGGCAAGAAAGGGATGGAGGTGTAGACTCGGGAGTTGCGACACAGTGGAAGTCCTTCAGATAATTCACATGGACCAGGGTGACAAGGTAAAGAGAGAAGACAATGGGGACACAGCTTTATAAAACTGCTGCAGTTAAGTGAGGAGGGAAAGGAAGAAGAACCAGCAAGAACAAGAAACTTGCAATATAACTAGCTTTCTTCAGTTAGTACCCTTAAGCCTGAATACGGTATTTCATCAATTCCCAGATGCACATTTTACTATCTCTGCAGTTGGGGAGCATTTTACAAGAATGGCATATCATTATCTCTGGCAGCCAGGTGATGGTCATTATAGCTGGTGCTGCCTACATGTTCAAAGCTGGTAATAGCTCTCTGTACGCTTCCTTGTTTGAACTGAGGTTTGCGCACTGCTGGTTTTACATGTAGAGGAAAAACATGGGTATGCAGAAAGGCAAAAAAGAAGCAGGGTAGAAAATTGTTATTAGCGAAGCAAATATTCATTGTTAAAGAACCGACCACAATCCCCACCTCTACCTTTTTTTTTTTTTTTGCAAAGCAACAACCAAATGAGAAAGGAAAATAATCATGAAGAGAACAAAGTTGTGTTATATACAAAGCAGATGTTATATACTGCCTTTCACACATCAAGAATTAGCTGAAATCAGGAGTGAAATAGAAGATAAAAATATTTATGTCTGTCTAAGTCTAAAAAAGCTATTTTGATAAGTATAAAATAAAAAATTTTAAGTGATAAGCAATGCACTGTGCAACATTTTTTCCATCTTGGTGGTATATAAAATAACTGTGGTTTCTATGATTAATGTCACCTTTGAGTTGATAAGTTCAGTAATAACTTTTATAACCAAATACATTAAAAGATCTGAAGACTAATAAGTATCAGTAGCAACAAACATACTCAAAGCAAGAAAGAATAAAATTAAGCATAAATCCAAGAAATCTAAAAGAACTCTAATCCCAGCCAAACACCTGAATCCAACACAATTACAAACTGAAAAGTCACAAACAAATTTAGAAAACAACAGAAGACAGGCTGCTTTCCAGCCTCTGTAATTCCTTTTGGTTCAAGACTTCATGTCTACATTTTTTATGCCCACTATGCAGCTGCCAGTCCCCACCAGGAGCTGGCATGCACTCCAGGATCTCCCTCTAGGACCAGTGCGGGTCTTGAATATGAGGAAGTCAGAGAGCTCTAGTTAAAAATATACAAGCCCTACTAGTTCTGGTTCTAGGCTTCTTCCTTACTCTTCCAAGCTTATGCTGTGTATCCTGGCAACACACCACACAGAACCGCCCGTGACCGAGGCCCTGCCTGGCTCTTTCTATCCCCTTTGAGCACCTGTGTCCTGGAGGCATTCCTAAAGCCAACTGCTCCTTCACCTACGCTATTTACGAACACTGTTCACTAGTGTTCACAGTCGGAACAGTGTTCTCGACTGTCCCCTTCTATGAATATTTCTCTGCAGGACAACAACCCATTTAGTACCTTACCTTCTGTTCTACAAGCTCCTCCCTGTTGAATACAATGTTCTGTCTGCCAGCCTGGACCTCGTATAGCTTGAGTCTCTTCTACCAAATGGCTGTCCCATCCAGTGGCTGAGTCTAGTTCAGAATCTCCCCCCACCCCACAAGCCATGTGCCTACCAATAATTTATTGAACAATTACTTATGCAGTATCTTTGCTCTAAGCAGTGCAGATACAGCAATAAACAAACAACATTCCTGCCTTTGTGAAGCTTACATTCTAGTAGGGGGATTCAGAAAATAAACGAATTAATAAATAACATTAGGTAAATACAAATGTTAGGAAGGAAAATAGGTAGGGTATGAAGATTCCCTGGTGGCCCAATGGTAAAGAACTTGCCTGCCAATGCAGGAGACTTGGGTTTGATCCCTGGTTTGAGAGAAGATCCCCTGGTGAAGGAAATGGCAATCCACACCAGTATTCTTGCCTGGGCTTCCCTGATAGCTCAGTTGGTAAAAAATCAGCCTGCAATGCAGGAGACCCCGGTTCGATTCCTGGGTCAGGAAGATTCCCTGGAGAAGGGATACTCTACCCACTCCAGTATTCTTGGGCTTCCCCTATGACTCAGCTGGTAAAGAATCCACCTGCAATGCGGGAGACCTGTGTTCAATCCCTGGATTGGGAAGGATCCCTGGAGAAAGGAAAGGCTACCCACTCCAGTATTCTGGCCTGGAGAATGAAATGAAGGAGTGAGACATGGAGAATTTGGGAAAAGAACATTCCAGGAAAAGACAAAAACAAGTACAAAGCCCCTGAGATGGGAGCATGCTGTGCTGTGCTGAGTTGCTCAGTCATGTCAGACTTTTTGCAACCACCATGGACTGTAGCCCACCAGCCTCTTTTGCCATGGGGATTCTCCAGGCAAGAATACTGGAGTGGGTTGCCATGCCCTCCTCAAGATGGAAGCATACGTAAAGTGTTTAAGAAAGAGCAAGAAGGCCAGTGTTGCCAGAGCTCTGGAGGTGAGGAGAGGGTGTAAGATGAAGCTGGAGAGGTTGCTAGGGCCAGATGAGGAAGTGCTTCATAGGCACGATTAAGAATTTTGAACTGGATTCTAGAGGCGATGTGAAGCCAATGGAAGGTTTTGAGCAGGGAACTAAAATGGTCAGATCTACATTCTGAAAGCCCTGCTCTAAATGCTACATACTGAACGATTCCATTTATAAGACAATGGAAAATGTAAATAGAGACAAAAGCAGATCAGTGGGGATAAAAAAAGGGCTGACTACAAAGAGTAGCACTAGAGACTTTGGCTGGGGGTGATGAACTATTGTGTATCTTGATTACAGTGGTGTTTATGCAACTGTATGCACTGTCAAAATTCACCAGAACTATATATTGAAAAGAGAGAACTTTATTATATATAATTCATAGACAGTGGGACCCATGTACATGGTCTACACTGGCTGATATGCAAGGAACACATGTGGGGGCAGGAGGCATGGCACGTGGAAGGGAGCCTAATTAGGAGACTATTACGATAATGTAGGGAAAGATGATGGCATGTAGTTGGAAAGATGATGGCATGTAGTTGGAAAGTTGAGCCATGAGATTAGCATGGTTTTTACCATCGAGAGTGTCTCACTGATGGACTGATGGAATACAAGTGTTGCTATACTCTCTCATGTAACTTTTCACTTAAAAATAGCTTAAACTAGTGTCAGATTCTGTAACTGCCTCCAGAGAGAAAACCATTTGTATCATTGTAAAAACTTTGCATTGAAAATACCTTTTGAAAACCTGATTAATATAATTTTATTTACACTATATTTTTATTGTATAAAATAAATATTATTTTATGACAAAGTTTATTACACTAATTCAACCTTATGTTTGCCCAGCTGAATTTGTCTAAATAGAATATTTAACCAGCTGAAAAGAATAAACTGCTTTCAGTTTCTTTAGAAGCATTCACATAATTGTTATACTGATCAACTCACTGAATCAATAAAGCAGATCCTGAAGTACAGACCCCCGCTATTTAACAATATTTTCCTAGTCTTATTAGAAGTATGCTAGAATGGTGATTATTTACTTCAGTGGTTAGAAAGCTACAGAGCCCATGTTACCAAGGGTCCATAAGACCACCAATGAAGGTCCTCAAAAGTGGTTCAAAAAACATATGGAAGTCATTCTTTAACAATGATAAAGCCTCAATGAGCTAACAAAAATGTCTTTATTTTAAATGTTAAAATAATTACTCAACATCTGTATGCGCAGTTTAGTATACAACACTTCAAAATATATGGTCAATAAAGGAAATCTAAAAAACAAAAGATGTTCAGGAAGAAGCAGCCAGTAAACTTAATACATGGCAACTGAGGTCTAAGAAGCATGAGATCTAAAAAATCCTTGATATGCACTTATCTAGTGGCCATGCCAGGACCACGGTGTTACAACAGGTCCTATCCAGTAGCCACTGGACCCTGAAGCAGCCCGGCAGACTGAAATACGCTCATAGCAAGTAAGAGCGTCTCACTCAGTTTTTCAGCACACAGGTACCTGGCACTTTGCAAACAGCAGAACTCAGGAGTAGTCACATGGGGAACGGCCTTTATCTTAAGTGATTATATAATTCAGACAGCTCACTGATTCAGACTTGTCTCTCCTCTCAATTATTCTGCATTACTTAGGGCTTATGCTACCAGCACTAACTAAAGCAATAATTAAATTCAATGGAATTATAATAGGGTTTGGCTTTTGGCTGAAATTTCACCAGATAAGCAAGACATTCACAGAGTTATTTATACACAAGCAAAGCAAAAACCTAGAGAAATGAGGCAAAGAAAGATCTTGGAAAATCTGCCTAAGTATAAGAAAATGTATCTTAAGAAGAAGTATAGACTAGGTATAGATAATAAGCAAAATGACCATATCTAAGTAACTAAATATTTTCTAGTTTTTTTTGTAATGAGGGTATAAAATTCATCAATAGCTTATTATCAACATTTTGTTTTAGTAAATAGAACAGATTATAAAATATGAGGTACTAAAAGAGCTTCACAAAACTTGTTTCAGTGATATACACACACACATAGCTTGTACCAAGTCACGAAACATTTCCTACTGTGGATAGCTATCAAACCATTTAAAGCCTCTGACTATTATATACAGGATGGATAAACAACAAGGTCCTATTGTATAGCATAAGGAACCATATTCAATATCTCATGGCAAACCATAATGGAAAAGAATATGAAAAAGAATGTATATACATGTATAACTGAGTCACTTTAGAGAAGAAAATAATCAACACATCATCATAAGTCAAATATATTTCAATAAAATTTTAAAAATACAAATATAAAAAAAAAACTTTGAAAGCCTCTATTGCAGAAAATAAAATCTGAACTTACCATTTTTTTGGCATGTTCTTCACACAGAGGTGTCTGGTGTGTAATGTCAAAAACGGGCACAGAACACTGCTGTCCATCTGCGAACTTGGCTGTGCAACTTGAGAAGAGTTGCTGAGAGCGGTTTAAGAGGATATCTGGGGTATTTTTAAGTTAAGAATAAAATACACTGAAACAATTTAATTTTTCAATTTCTATATAAAATTTATTTTTTAAGTTACTTGTCCTTAGTTATCATAAATTTTGTATTTTACAAAAGCTAAAGAACCAATCCAATTACTATTATAGAAAATGGTAACAGTTGAATTTATCATCTTCAATTATCAGAAGATACTTCTAAAGGAGTCCGTTTTGCTAATGAGCTCTTAACATGAGTCTCCCTTATGGCCATTCTGATTTCTGTTATTTAGAGAAGGAGGGTCGTTTCCTTCCTAACACACTAACTCCTAAAAGTTCCACTATGATGGTTTAAACAACAATAAAACTTTCTTTTAAGGAAAATTTCTACCTAAGATACTAATCAAGAATAAACAGTTAAAGATATAATTACCAAAAAACTCATCTATCCATATTTGAATTTTTCATTTCACATCTCCAATACCAAACTCAAACTTCTAACTTATGAAAAATTACTTTTAAATTAAAACATCATTTTTAAGCAGATACTTTTAGCCAGTAACTACATTTCCACAGATTTACTTTATATATATTAAGGGAATATCTTTCATTTATTCTTTTATGCTTTTACAATTAAGCATACAGGAAAAAAGCCTTTACTCCATAGACACTGTTGCTGAAAAAGCTGTGAAAATACAATACCAAGAAGAGAAAGGAAGGAAAAAAATCAGAAAGATAGTAAAGTAATTGCTACTATATTTTTTAAAATGCTACTCAACTTTAAATGTTTAATGGAAGTGAAAGTAATAAGATTTCATAATCACCCTGAAGTTCCTTAACATAGGTTTTCCTCATGTATATTCTGTCTTATGATATCTTCTTTCCTAGTTGGTGATGTTTATTATCTTTCATACATTTCAGATCAGCAATGTACTCAATAAAGTAGGAAATTAATCCCATAGTAAAAAAAAAAAGTCTGTAAAACTGTATAACTTTCTTGGAGGACTAAAGACAGTTTTTGAATAATGGGATTTGATTTTCCTGTCAATGGGTGTCATGGTTATCTCTTACAAACTACCTAGAACTACTGGAAGGACCAGAATCCTATTTTTTTAAAATTTTATTTAAATGATAGCCACTGGAAGAACCTACTACTTGCTGTCCATTTTGCCCATTTTGATATAATTGTTGAATACAGAATTATAATAACATAAGCAGAAAAACTAAGACCATGGCATCTGGTCCCATCACTTCATGGCAAATAGATGGGGAAACAGTGGAAACAGTGGCTGACTTTATTATTTTGGGCTCCAAAATCACTGCAGATGGTGATTGCAGCAATGAAATTAAAAGATGCTTACTCCTTGGAAGGAAAGTTATGACAAAGCTAGACAGCTTATTAAAAAGCAGAGACATTACTTTGTCAACAAAGGTCTGTCGAGTCAAGGCTATGGTTTTTCTAGTAGTCAGTCATGTATGGATGTGAGAGTTGGACTATAAAGAAAGCTGAGCGCCAAAGAATTGATGCTTTTGAACTGTGGTGTTGGAGAAGACTCCTGAGAGTCCCTTGGATTGCAAGCAGATCCAACCAGACTATCCTAAAGGAAATCAGTCCTGGGTGTTCACTGGAAGGACTGATGTTGAAGCTGAAACTCCAATATTTTGGCCACCTGATGCAAAGAGCTGACTCATTTGAAAAGACCTTGATGTTGGGAAAGATTGAAGGCAGGAAGAGAAGGGGACAACAGAGGATAAGATGGTTAGATGGCATCACCAACTCAATGGACATGAGTCTGGGTAAGCTCCGGGAGCTGGTGATGAACAGGAAGGCCTGGCTTGCTGCGGTTCATGGGGTCGCAAAGAGTTGGACACGATTGAGTGACTGAACTGAACGGAACTGAAGCAGAAGAAAAAGCTATTCAGTTTTTGAGCAAAACAAATGCAAGAAACTTTGAGTAAACACCAAGAAAACCAGAAGTAATATAAAAACTATTTTAAATACTAAATTGCTGTGATTTCAAAAATCATTCACTTGGCCTAAGAATGAAATATATTACCCCAACGAGTCAGTACTTTTCAATGCACACTCAGTTTAGTTAGGAGGATACGTTGGAAACAATGTCTGGTGAATGGAAGGGCTTTGTTGGTGCACTGTTCACCCTTCACGGTCCCACTGCACGCTGCAGCTTCCATTTCCTTCAACGTGGTCCGACTTATGCTAAGGAATGAAAAACATAATAAGAATTTTTTAAAATGCTTTAAGAATCTAGGGCAATTATTCAAATAATGTTACTACTTTATAACATTCACACTTTTTTTTTTAACATTCACACTTTTAACTACCTAGATTCATTAGTTAATATGCAAGTATGAATAACAATGACCAGTTCTAATATTTCCCCAACTGACAAAACAAATAATTACATTATAATTTGGCCTCAGCTATGTCTATCTATTTTGGGGTTTTGTTTGGCTTTTCTAAAAGTGATATTTTGGTTTCTTTTACTTCACAAAGAAGCAGTAGAAAGTAGTGATGAAGACCATGAGACTAGATAAGACAGACCTGGTTCTGAATTTCGGCTCTACCTCTTACTAGCTCTGTGATCTTGGGCAAGTTACTTAGCCTTGCTTAAGTCTCAACTTCCTCACCTGTGGAGTGAAGATAAGAGTCCTATAGCTGACAGGCAAGCATCAAAAGACACAACACATCTCAAACACCACAAACAGTATAGAGTATGGTACATAGTAAAGAATCAATGGTTGTCAGTCACCACTATTATCAACATCATCATTGTTAGATTTTGGCCTCAGAAAGCTTCTAAACAATACATCTGCAAAATAATGAACCTAATACATGAGGAATGGGATGCAGAACAGAGAGCTAAGCAATGAAGAATCTCCTTTCCACCCCTCTCAATTTGCCAGTTTCCACTCACTCTATTAATTAATATGTGTTCATTTTATTAGTTTGTAATCTTTCCATAGTTTTATACAAACATTAAATTTTTGAAAAAATTTTAATTCTTGGAAGTATAAAAACTATGCTATCTATGTAACTTTATCAAATGTCATAAACTATTACGCCTTTACACATGCCTGAGTATGGAAAAAGAATCTATTTGGTGCACTGAGTTACAAGTCTAGAATCAAAAATTGAAAAATCTTTTGGATTGTTTCTAATATCCTTCTAAGGATTTAAGTGAGATGATTTATATTAATTAGAAAAGGTCATAAAGAATCTAAGTTACATATAATATTTCTATTACAACTGTAACTTCCATATAAATAGTGAATGCAAAAAGGTGCTGCCTTAGAAGCTGCTTTAATGAAGAGTTTTGCTAGGTTTGTCAGGATCACGAGTGAGGAAGTAGGTCATTAAGCTCACAATTTCCAAAAATTGAAGCTTTACTATTTTGGCAGCTAAGCCCAATTTCTCTTGGTCTAGATTTAAATAAAAGGTAGCTCTCTAATTTGAATGGATAAATTTCATTGAACTCTTTAGTAATTTACTTAACCATCTGCCAGGCCTAGTGTTACAACATAGCCCTCACTTACTTTATCCTAAACTTCAAAGTAAACCATTGGCTTCAATTTTAGAATCATCATTATGTTCTAACTCACCAATCTATCTTTTAAAATAAACCCGAAGTCAGGATTTCAATGTCCCCATGGAGAATAATCCCAACGAAACAAAGGTTTTGATGCTGTTAATATGAAAATATTTACTGTGGGCTTCCAGTCTGTATGCTCTACTGGATCCCCTGTTTAAAAAGAAGAGTCCACACAACACTCTCTCTCCGCAGAACTGTGGGCTGTAAGATACTGAGACTCAGGTTTATAAATTTTAAGCTATTTCAATGGTTTATTCTACATGCTCACCCATAAATGACAAAGTTACTAGATTAAAGAATATTTTAATGTTGTTTAGTTTATATCTAAACCATATTTTAAGAATACATATTGGAAGGTAGCCATTATAGTTTCAATTTCTAAAATATTTAACAGCAACTTTTTAAAGGTTTTCTGTGGAACTAGGTCTCTGGTAACAAAAAATATTAAATACAGAGGAAGTTAGTCAACTGAGTTGATTTTTGCAGACCTTATAGGTAATGTAAAGGAATAAGGAACTAATCACCAACAAATGATTATGGCACAGTGGCATATGATTATCAGCAATGCAGTGAGCAATAAAACACTTTATTAATCATGGGGGACATAAGCAAATGATATCACATAAATTTGAGATCTGTAATTGAGTTCATCTTGGTGTCTGTCTTGTAACACTTGGTTATCATGTAATTTTTTTGAAAAACATCACTAAAGGTGGTTTGGGAGATGATAAGAGGGGGTCGACTCTGCCAGTTAAAAATCATAGGCAAGTACAGTTTCCATACAGATAGCAAATTGTCCCAAACTCACAGTATAGTCTCTTTATATGTCACATCTTTGACAGAACTGTAACAATATATGAGACCCAATATATACAATGAGCTACATCTAGATTGCTTCATGCTGGACAAAATTAAAATTTCTACTGAAATTATACACTTTAGCATTATATCATATAAATGTTAGATATCTTTAAAACTTACATCAAAATGAGTGAGTTCTTTTAACAAACAGAAAACAGACCCTCACTTGTTCAATTCTATTCATTCATTCATCAACACTGGAGATTAAAAACAAAATATACATTGTCCCTGCCCTCATAGAAACTACTGTCTAGTATGACAGAGAGACATTAATATAAGCATAAAATTCTACAATGAAGCAGAGTACAGAGCACAAAAGCGTATGTATCAGGAGACCAAATATAGTCAGCGGACTCTGGGAATGTTTCTCTGAGAAAGACAAGTCTCTGACCACGGAAGAAGTAAGTTAAGCCCTAAATACCTTCTAGTACAGACACCACCTCCATGACAGGAGATTGAGAGTTCTAAAAGTGAGAGGAAATACTGCAGGCTGCAGTCACTATGGAGGTATATCAGATATACATACATAGTTTCAAACTACTCCAAATATGCCAAGCAGAAAATTCTTAAGGGCATATTATTTTTTGAGATACTCTACTGGAAAATAGATTACTTTGTTAAAGCAAATATAATGAAAATCAAAATACACAAAATGAAAATGAAATTTCAAATATTACAGTATAGTTATGTAAGGAATATATCTATATATATATATCAATATATATATCAATGTATCAATAGCTACAAAGCAAAGGTTAATTTTTAGTTTTTGGCTTGTTTTAAACCCTTTTTCCGTCAAATGACTTATGATCATCCTTGAAAAATTAAAATATACAAACTACAAATTTTTTAAAACTTTATCAATAATCTTGAGATAATACTGGTAATATTTAGGTATATAAACCCCGAAATGTTTTACATATATAATGTTTATTTGCACACACACACACACGCACACACACACAGAAAAATACTAGAAGGAAACAGAATAAAAATATTCATACTGCTCATTCTGTTTTGTGAATGGTGATATTATGGAGATATTCTGCTATTTTCCATATTTTTCAAACTTTCACAATAAGCAAATATCTTCATTATAAACAGAAGGGATTTTTCCCCCCAAAGAAATCCAAAGTAATTAAACATTCTGAATATGATATTTGGGATAATGTATATATTGCCAGAAAATACAATGGAAATGCTTATATAAGAAAATGCTTATATAAGTCAAAAACATAAAATACCACTTTGGTAGTTAAAAAAAAACTATAAGTATTACTTTTAAAAGAAATTACTTAACAAGAAATTTTTTAAGCATTGCATTTTTTTAAAGACAGGTAGCATTCTCAAATTCTCTACTAAATAAATTCTAATCAAACTCCAGCAAAATTCTAGTAATACTTTTTTTTTTTTTTTACAGTCAGCTGGTGGCAGGATTATTTTGCCATCGCTATAGAACTTTAAGCAACAAAACCACAATATAGCGCTTAAGTACTTCAGGATAATATGTCCACCACTCTCTGCATCTTGACTATCCTCTCAAAAACTAGAGAAAACAGACAAGGTGAGTTCTTAGAAACAGGCGGCTGTGCGGAGCTCTGACCTGGCTCGACTGCACGTAGCTCTCTGCAGTTCCTGGATCAGCTGGCCAGTACACTCTGGTTCTCGACTGGCCGCCTGCAGCAAGGCCTTCCTGAACGTGTGCCGGCATTTCTTTTGACGAGAGTCTGCCCGCTCCAGGCGGCAGAGGTGCTTATATTTCTGCTGAAAGTAAGTGCAAAGTTGGGTCACCCTGGAGCTCCTACTCTCCGTATCATCATCATCCGACCTAGAAAGTGCAGGGAGAGAAGCAAAAAAACTTGATTACATGGGAGGTGCATTTTAGAAAAGGGAAAAGCAGGTTGAGGAAAGGCGGCAGGATGTACAGGGCCGAAACTGGTGGCTCATGAACACACAGGATGAAACGAGAGGAAGAGAATTTCAGCAGAGCAGCTGAAAATGAGTACAGTGTTTTAACACTAAGTGGGCAGCAGAGACAATCCAATGCTCTAAGAGGCTTAAACTTCTTAGTCTGTCATAATTAGGACATTTCATGCATCAGTGTCTTCTCAATTTTAAGTGAAGAGGTATCTGCGGGAAGAAAATAATTTCTTTACCTCTATTTATTAAAAAGTCTGAATAAATGACATGAAGGTTATGATGAAACACTCAGCATAATTTCATAAAAGATAGGTCATACCAGAAATGGAGCAGTGAATACATCTAAGAGCTGCCCTTTCAGATGGACTTGTTTTTAACCACCTTCTTTTGCTAAGCACTAAAAGAATTTTGATTGCAGGGATCACAATCATTCTACAGCATTTGTTCAAACTAAGGAAATATCCTAAACAACATTTCACATCCTAGGGAATTACAGAGGCTTTTCTGTCTTTGGCTTCCCTAGGTGGTGCAGTGGGAAAGAATCCGCTTGCAAATGCAGGAGACGCCAGTGATGTGGGTTCGATCCCTGGGCCAGGAATATCCCCTGGAGATTATTCCAGGGGATATTCTTGTATTCTTGCCTAGAAAATCCCATGGACAGAGGAGTCTGGTGGGCTAGAGTCCATGGGGTTGCAAAGACTCAGACCCAACTGAGCGACTGAGCACTTTTTGTCTTTATGCTAATATTGACTGACGGGTGGCCCTGGCTGGAAGACTATGTTGAAAAGGATGCTGAGAGTACATCAGACTCAAAAAGAAACAGCATGGTGGTTAGTTAGCAATGTCTACCACCAGGGAAGTTAACAAAGTCATTTTCCTAGGGAACAAATGTGACCTCATTCTTCTTTTTTTTTTTTAACTATTAGGAATAATGCACATAAAACTGGAAAACCAACCTGTCTTATATATTACCTTCCTTCTCTTATATCATAACATAAACAACACACGTGTGACACTCCAAACGATATATAGTATCTGACTAACTTGCGGTAAATCCTGCTCGGTTTCTCTTCTCTTCTTGAGTGGTATCACCCCTCTTTCCTTCAAAATAGCTTATAACCAGCTACTCTGTAAACTTCTGTTTAGTATATGTCCTAAGTCACGTTTTCTTCAGCATAGTTTTTACTACAGATATACCAACTGAAGGATCTCACTTCCATCTTTTCCTCTATTTGACATTCAAAATTTGCTCTATGTCTGTCATGCTTTATGAAAAGCTAGGAGCTATTTAAAATTTCAATTTCCCAAGACCTACCCTAGACATGCGTGCATGTGTGCTAAGTCACTGCAGTCATGTCCAGTTCTCTGCATCCCTATGGACTGTAACCCGCCAGGCTCCTCTCTCCATCCATGGGGTTCTCCGGGCAAGAATACTGGAGTGGGTTGCTATGCCCTCCTCCAGGGGATCTTCTGGACCCAAGGATTAAACCCATGTCTCTTATGTCTCCTGCACTGGCAGGCGGGTTCTTTATCACTAGCGCCACCTGGGAAACCCACCCTAGATCTACTGACCCAGAACTTCCATGGGATAGGACGCAGGAATCTTTTAATTGCTCCCTAGTTCTGGCAGGGCCAGGAAGTGCTGTTAGTAGGTTTAATATGAGATAGTAACAACAAGTAACATAGGAGAGATACAGATAAAATGCCTTTAACGTCTACTGAAAAGACTCCTGGATGAAAGGCTCTGTAGAGTAAATGACAACAGAATGGAACCTTGAAGAAAAGGTGGAATCTGAAGATGAGAAAAGAAAGGGATCTCAGAAGGATAAAGCAATAAGCCAAGATACAGAGATGGACAGGATGGGGAACAGCAAGGACTGAAGAGCTTAGGTGGGCTAAGGAGTGGGGTATGCAGAGTACTGACGGCTAAGGCCAAACATAAAGGCCAGATTAAAGAATTTAACCTTGATTCTATAGGCAATGAAGAACCCTGTAGATGATTAAGAATACAGGTAACAATAACGGAGCTGTGCATGGGCGGATATAAACGGGAGAAAGAGAGAGAAGGAAAGAGTAATGAAGAAGTTACTACAAAACCCCAGATAAGGGCTTCCCTGGTGGCTCAGTGGTAAAGAATCCGACTGCTAATGCAGGGGACATGGATGTGATCCCTGGTCCAGGAAGATCCCACCTGCCTCCGAGCAACTAAGCTTGTGCACCACAACTATTGAGCCTGTGCTCCAGAGCCCACGAACCGCAACCGCTAAGCAAACGTACCACAATTACTGAACCGGCGCACGAGAACCTACAAGAGAAGCCTGTGCAATGAAGAGCAGTGCCTGCTCACCACGAGAGAAAAGCCCGAGCAGCAACAAAGACTCAGCACGGCCAATAAACAAACAAACAGGTAAGAAATAACAGACCCCATACCAAGATGGTGGCAGCAGGACTGGAGAACATGGGAGATCATCTGCATGTATTAAAGATTTGTCAGCTGGGCAGGGAAGAAGGAAGGGACAATTATCACCCAGCAGTCCCACTGGCAAAGACCAGGAAATAGCAGCGAGAGAAAATTTGGGAAATAAATTCCATAAAAATTAGGAAATTAATTCCATATTGCATGCATACATGCACAGTCAAGTCCGTCTCTTTGCAGCCCTACAGACTACAGCCCACCAGGCTCCTCTGTCCATGGCAAGATTACTGGAGGGCTTCCCAGTAATTACTGGAGGGCTTCCCAGAGTTAATGGTGAAGAATCCTCCTGCCAATGCAGGAGACGTAAGAGACTCAGGTTCGATCCCTGGGTTGGGGAGATCCCTTGGAGGAGGGCGTGGCAACCAACAAGATTCTCCAGTATTCTTGCCTGGAGAATCCCATGGACAGAGGAGCCTGGTGGGCTATATATAGTTCATAGGATCGCAGAGTCAGACACGACTGAAGTGACTTAGCACACATGCAGTAATAGAGTGTGTTGCCATTTCCTCCTCCAGGGGATCCTCCCGAATCTGGGAGTGAACCCCCATCTCCTGCATCTCCTGCATTGGCAGGAGGGTTCTGAGCCACCTGAGAAGCTCAAATTCCATTTTAGACCTACATAATTTAAAATGCAGAGGAGCCATCAATGGGAGTGGTAGAAAAACCGTTGGACATTATAAACTTGAGCACATTTAGAGCACATTTAGGGAAGAGATACAGATTTCAAAATCAACAGCTAACAACTGGGAGTAACTAAAAGTAAAAGGCCACAAAGATAATAGAAAGAGCAAGGCCCATAAGGGTCATTATCACAAAAGAATTTGGTGACTGGGTATGAAGGATAAGAAAGCCAATAATGACTCTGAATCTGCATAACTAAGAGAATGGAAGTGTCATTATAGAAAGAGGAGAGAAACAGTAAGTCTTAAAGGGAAAAATAAAGGTACGGTGAATAATCAAATGCCAGCACTGTTATTTAAAAAGACTATCATTGCAGAGAAAACGGACTGAATGAATGGTTCTCAAGTTAACCATGGGAAGCTACACCTGGATGTAGAGGCATGTTACGTCGTGATAGAAGTTTTCAGAGCTTATTTTACCAATAACTTTGGTATTTATCTTGCTGTGGCCCAGTAACTGGCAGTTTGCAGACTAGCATAGGTCCACAGACCACCCTTGATGTGGTCCTAAACTGGAAAGTCTTCAGGGTGCCTCCCCCTCTAAGACGGCTTGAGAGTGATACTTCCAGAGGCTCCCCAGGTGGCTCATTGATAAAGAATCCACCTGCCAATGCAGAAGACTTGGATTCGATCCCTGGGATGGAGGAAGATCCCCTACAGTAGGAAATGGCAACCCACTCCACTCTTATTGCCAGGATTATCCCTTGGACAGAGGAGCCTGGGAGGCTATCGTCCACGGGGTTGCAAAGAGTCCAACAGGACGGAGCATGAAAGTACATTCTTCAGATCTAGTTCTGAGGAAGATTACCCAACTAGGACGAGAAAGGCCAGTTCCTATCATTAACCAGCAGTGCCAAGAGCTTGCACCTACAGCATTCCTCAGTAAGTGTTAAGTTTCCTTCCTTCTTTAAATTTGCTCATTGGTGAAATGAGAGACATAGCTGGCTCCTCTATCTCCCACGGTTAAGAGAAATAATATGTGTGAAATATTAAGATGCTACTAATAGCCCCACGTACGGAGCAGTAAATTCCGAACATGATTTCCTAAGACTTTAGGCTTATCTGTAATCTCAGGGCAACAAGAAATTTTACAAATAAAATCCACATTAATTTACTAAAACAACAAAAGAGCAAAAACTTTCCACAAAGAAAAAATTCAGGACCAGATGGGATTCATTGGCGAATTCTACAAAATGTTTAAAGAATTAGAGGGCTTCCCTCGTGGTCCAGTGGTTAAGATTCCACTCTCCCAATACAGAAGGCATGGGTTTGATCCCTGGTCAGGGAATTAAGATCCTACATGCTGCAGGGCGCAGCCAAGAAACAAAAACAAAACAAAAATAAAAACTACAGTAAGATGTCACCTCCAACCTATTGGAATACCTACTATCAAAAAGAAATAACAAGGGTTGGTGAGGCTGTAGAGAAAAAAGAACCCTTGTACACTGTTGGTTGGAATGTAAACTGGAGCAGACACTTGGGAAACAGTCTAAACAGTCTTCAAAAAATTAAAAATAGAACAGAATTACCATACGTAAGACCCAGCAGTCTCACCTCTGGGGACATATAATCAATGGAAATGAAATCACTGTCTCAAAGAGATATCAGCATCCCCAGGTTCACTACATCATTCCTCACAATAGCCAAGATGTGGGAGCAACCTAAGTGTCTACACATGGATGAATGGATAAGGAAACTGCAGGAGATGTACATAATAGAATATTATTCAGCCACAAAACCAAAAATTCTGTCATTTGTGACAACATGGGGGGACATCAAGGGCATTATGCTAAATGAAATAAGTCAGAGAAATAAACGCCATATGATCTCTCCTTGTACGTGGACTGTTTAACCAAAGACTTGATTGGTGGATGCCAGAGACAGAGGTATATGGGAGGAAAAATGGGTGAGCTATGTTTTAGGGCATTTTATTTGTTTTTTAGTTTAAATAAATTGAATAATAAAAAAGGATTCTGCTTAGTCTCTCATGGTAGAAAAAAGACCGTAATAGAAACTTTTCGAACAATGATACCAACAGTCTTACTCAAGAGCTGGCAGTCTTGTGCTTCATCTACGTTGCCTAACCCCGTCTTTCACATTCAAGCATGTATATGTTGTCTCTATTGGCAAATGTAGTAACATTAAGGATAATTTAAAAATAAAGAAGATATGTAATCTTCCTAAAAAAAAAAAAGGTCAAATAGAGATTTCAACACCCCATTCTCAGTAATTGATAGAACAAAATGAAAGGAAATCACCAAAGATTAAAAGAAAGAAAATCAGAGAAAACCTCAACACTATTAACCAATTTGACCTGACATTTACAGAACGCTGTAATCTAAATGTGATCTCTGATCACAGTACAATTAAATGAGAAATCAATTCCTGATAAATCTCCAAATATGTGTAAACTAAATATCACTTCTAAATAACTCATAGATCAAACAAGACATCAAAAGGGGTATTAGAATTCCCTGGTAGTCCAGTGGTTAGGACTTCTAGGTCTTACTGACAAGGGCCTGGGTTCAACCCCTGATCAGTGAGCTAAGATCCCACAGGCTGCATGGCAATTAAAAAAAAAAAAAAGGAGATGGGGAGGGTATTAGAAAGTATTTTGAATTTAATAAAAATGAAAACATGTCATACCAAAATTTGTAGGATGCAGCTAAAACCAGTGTTTAGAGGAAAATGAATAGCACCAAGCATCTACGCCAGAAATATCTCAGATTTACATGACTTAAGCTATTATCTTAAAAACTTTAAAAAATTAAAGCCAAACAGAAAAAACAATAAAGAACAGAAAGCAACAAACTAGGACTTTCCTGACGGTCCAGTGGTTAAGACTCCACACCCCAGCGCAGGAGGCAGGGGTTCAATCCCTGATCAGGGAAGATGCCGCATGATAGAGCCAAATAAAAAAGAAAAGAAAGCAATGAAATAAAAAATAAGAAATTAAAAAGGAAGAAAAAGCAATGAAACCAAAAGCTTTCTTTAAAAAGATTAAAATCTATTATGAAGCTATTTTAATTAAAACTTTGAGGTACTGGCACAAGGACAAACAGGTCAATGGAAGAGATTAGAAAATGCACAAATAGACAAACACATATATGTCAAGGGTTCCAATGCAATGGAAAGCAAGTGTTCAATAGTGCTGCTTAAATAGAAAAGTCATATTGGAAAAAAAAATGATCTTTGGTCCTTCACATCACATATAATATATACAAAAATAAATTCCAGAAAGACTGCCAGTAAAACAATAAATCTTTTAAAAGATACTATGAGAAAATAGCTTCATAATCCTGGCATAAGCAATGATTTCTCAAGTGAGTCACAAACTAACCAGAAAGGAAAAAAAAAAAACCTAATAAATTGTCCTCATTAAAATTAAGAACTTTATTCTATTGAAGACATCATTAGGAATGTGAAAAGGTAAGTAGTTCCTGGCAGTAATTACTGTTCCTTAATAATACATTTAAGATACCAACTTACTTCTGCTACCGAGAGACCTCAGTAAAATCCTAAGCACTCCACTTTGGCATATGCATCTACAACTAAACCAAACATCAAGGAACCTTTGCCAAAACAAGGCCAAACTTTCTCTCCAAATTTCTGTAAGTACCATTTTAGTTTAGGAAGAAAGTTCTTGAAAAGGTTCTTCAGAGGGGAATGTGGTGATCAAACCACTGTCCATTTTTCTTCCCAAAACACAATGAACGCGTTGAGGATTTTAAATGGCAAAACCTTTTGAGAAATCTCACATGGCGAAAATTTCTTGAAGAGATAATGGACAGGCTGGGCAGGACCAGCTTCTTAGAGCTCTCCATTTGGTGTTACAGTGGAGTGCAACTAGAAGGTGGACGGAAGCCGTCCTCCAGGTCATCTCCAGCACAGGACGGAGCTCCGGAGGGAGCACAGTGGGAGATGAGGACGTGCCCGCAGGCAGAGGCGGGATGATAAACCCACGCAACCCCAGTTTCACCCAAGGGAAAGAATGCAGCGCCCTGCGCCTGAAGCGGAGCACTGCCTGAAGCATAATACGAGGTCAACGAATATGCTGAGTGAGTGAACAAACGAATGAAGAGGAAAAGACTGAAGGGACAGCTGGGCAAGAACTAGAGACAACTGCTTATAAAAAGGAGAGATACACAGTGAGGGGAAAGAAGGGCCAGGGAAGCACAGCATCACGGTGAGTCAAGGAAGAAGCAAGTTAGCAAAACTGGCTAAGAAAGTAAAATGCTACAGAGATAAAGACAATGACCGTTGGGCACAAGTCTAACACAAATTCTGAGAACTCTGCAATTAAGGAAGAAATGGAGCATAAACTGCTCCTGATCAAAGGCAAATACTGCCAATACTAATGTTCAGGTCATCTGCAGAATTAAAATAGGATTCTTGGCTACCATTCACCAGTCATTTCTCATGAATCAGGTATTATGCTGAGCATTTACTTGTGTTACCTCATTTAGAGCAATTTGTCAAATTAACTCAAAATATCCCAAGTCAAGCTAAGCTGATATGAATATCAACCTTAGGAAACATGTTTGATATTATCCACAACTTGGAAAGAAAGCTTACGCTCAGTTGTACTTCCATCTGAAAGCAAGAAATGCTAATGACAAGGAAATAGTCTTGAATGACATATAAAACAGAACCTCAGAGAGAAAAAAACATATAGCATTTTCCAATAGTAACTCGGAGACAGGAGAGACAAGGACAACTATATGGGATATAAATCCCAAGAGTGGAAATGGAAGCATTAGGCTATTAAAGGTTAAGGACAACGTCCATTAATAAATACAGCTAACTTTCCTGCTCTAACTCCACGTCCAAATAAGCTTCTGACTATAACTTGCCTCCCGTATAGTATTGCTCAGTGAACATTTGTACCACTTAAAGATTGTGTTTCTGACTATAAACTAGAATTTTGGCTTATACATCAGACTCTAGTGAATCAGTTTCTTAAGCCTAATCATTTCTGGGTATACTAACAAATCACACTGCACGCCTATCAATTCAGAAACCAGACCCTAGAATGTATATCCATACAAGGATACTTTGCAATTCTAGGAGCTGGCCTGGGACAGATAGTCTCCCCTTTATCTTGTTGAACATCTATTCAACAGAACTTAAAAAAAAAAAAAAAAAATTAGCTGAGTCTGTAAGTCACCTTTTGGCCTCACAGAAAAGGATCTATCTCAGTCCTCTCACACTGCACCCAGCGCATAGCCCCACGATGCTGAGGCAGTCCTCTGAAAGAGAACTAGCATTCTTACTACCATCTGAAGGGGCTGTGCATTAACCTACAGCTTTCTGATAAGGCAGATACCAAGAACCTCTAATGAGACTATTTTGGAAACTACTTTAACACATTAGAAGTATTCAGCACATTAGAAATATTAAAGAAAGGATCAATCTTGCATAAGATGGAGGTGAAGTAAAAAGAACTATTCCCAGCTACTGTGTGGATAGGGCCAAAGAAAAAACAAGGAGAAATCAGACAGGGGGACTCCAAGTAGGCCAGGGACACTGGCAAGTTCCTTCACCTGCCGAGGCCTTGATTTCCTCTTCTATAAAATGAGGAAATGGGATCCGATGAATTCTCAGGGCCCCTTCAGTTCTAAAATCTATTACAATGGGTTCCTTCAGTCATAACTGAAAAAGGTACTGAAACAAATTTACCAAGGAAACATAAACAGCACTCTCCTCAAATAATATAGTACATCTCCTCTCAAGTGGAATCTATTTTTACCTCCATTACAATAAAACTACATCCAGTAACATTTTAAAAATCAGCATATACAGGAAGAACCCATTTACTACAGTGGAAGTTGAAGAATAAAAAGGAAGAGGAGGACTCACGTGTGTCTTTCGTATCTGAGGGTCTCTCGGATGGACCAGGCCACCTGGTACGGTGAGGCCTGCTCTGAGTCCTCAAGTTCTTCTCCACTCTCTTCAGACCAGTCCAACCCTAGGACAGCGGAGGATGTGGCAAGTTAGAAAAAATTCATGTTTATTTAAATTTTAGATGAAAAGCTACCTGAAACACGTAACCCAACACCTGTAGCAAACACTATCATAGTGTGAATAAATGCCTCCTGATGAGTTTCATCCCTGTTTCTAGCAAAGATATTAATAATGAATGTACAACATGCACTCAAATTTAAAACAATGACATTGTAACAAAAAGGCGCAGATGAACTTCTATAGGATGCTTCACAAAGGGAGAGGAAACAACAGCGAGTTCAAGTCAGAAAAAAATAAAGGGTAGAATTTCTTAAGTATCAAAACATATACACTAAAATAATGTCAGAAAAACATACAAGATATTCAAGACAACGGGGAAAGAAGCCTAATGTATGTTCAGGCAAGGAAAGTCAAAAGGTACCACTGGACTCATGCTATACCTCAACAAAGAAGGGCCCTAGAATAAATTGTTAAAAGGCAGGCACAGTGCATCCCTCTCTCCCAACAACATGTCTGGAGGAAAGGACTCCATCCACAAGGCAGGAACATGCTCAGTCTTTTGTTCCCCAGGGGAAGAGGGAAGGGCAGGACTGTTGTGCAGTCGCTCAGTCGTGTCCAACTCTTTGCGAGCCCATGGACTGCAGCACGCCAGGCTTCCCTGTCCTTCACTGTCTCGCAGTTTGTTCAAATGCATGTCCACTGAGTCAGTGATGCCATCCAACCATCTCATCCTCTGTCGCCCCATTCTCCTCCTGCCCTCAGGGGCAGGATAGCAATGTTCTATTTCTAATGTCACTGGGGTTTCTTTCAGTTAAACAAAAGCTGTCACATTCTGAGTTCCATTTTGAAAACAAGGTTAGAAGGAAAAGCAGAGAAAGAGTATGAATAATGCTTATTCATTTTGTTAAATGCATTATTTTTAATGACTGGATAATTACTAGCTTCCAACATAAAGGTTTTGCCTTTTTAAAAGTTTTGTATCTTGAAGAGGTCTTGATAAATGCTGATCTTGCACAGCCTAAAATACAACAGTGTGTGGACTACTTAACATATTCAAAACCACTATAAAACTTTAATTAGACACCCTGATGACTAGTATTCTATGTCTTCCTTCTTGAGACCCTCAAAAATCAGAGACAGTCTTTATTACGCACAATTAGTTATAAAGGATCTCATAGATTTCTTCCATAATTTAAATGAGTTAAGTGTCCAATATAATTGCTTAGTCATGTCTGACTCTTTGCAACCCCAAGGACTGTAGCCTATCAGGCCCTTCTGTCCGTGGAATTCTCCAGTCAAGAACACTGGAATGGGTAGCCATTCCCTTCTCTAGGGGATCTTCCCCACCCAGGGACCAAAGCAGGTCTCCTGCACTGCAGGCAGATTCTTCATCATCTAAGCCACTAGTTAACATGTGCCAAACTAGGAAATTAAGAAAAGGTTAATTGAAATGCAAATTATAAATGTTTAAAATTAAGGAACACTGCCACCAGCATAAAGAAACTCTAAACCTATTTCCAAGATGACTATTCAAACTATCAGGTCATCTTAAAAAGTTACACTCTCTAACTAAAATAACAATTTGATAGAGTACATTTAAAAAAAAGTGATCACATTATCAGCTTCAGGATGTTGAAAGGTGAGATCTTTCAAACACAAAGTGACACTTAAGGCACCTTTAAAAATTAGAACATGAACTGTTATTTTTTAAGTTTCTGTAAAAGTCAAAATAATGTCTACTAAGTCACCTATGCTTCCTCTGAAAAAGTAAAGATCTAAGTCATAAGAACTGAGATTGAAGTACTTCTCCTGTTGTAAAATTAACTGTCCAATAAAGCAAACCTTTGATCTTGGCTTCATTATCACCAGTTTCAGCGTAACTGATTGAGATGACCAACCCAAATGGGATGGGAGGAGCCAATTAAATATTTCATTTTTCTTTAAGTATTCTTTGCTGACATGAATGCAGACTCAGTTGTAACAGTACATTATAATTTCAGGTTTCTCGAAAATAATCTGTTTTAAAAACTTCGTGGCAGAGACCACACAACATTGTAAAGCAATTATCCTCCAATTAAAAATTTTTTTTAATTAAAAAAACAAAAATTTGAGTTTCTCATTTACATTTTCTAAAAATAAAAAGACAATACTTTTCTATGAGTTTTAATTCTGTGCAAAATGATTGAAAGTCAGCCCTCAACATAACGTAAAATTTCAAAAGCTAAAATATTATCAGTGTCTAGAAATAAATAGAAATACAAATAAAAATTTAGCAGATGATGTGGGTAAAAGCTGGAATGAGAGGCAGATGTGCAAAGAAAACTTAGATCTCTGCCTCAAAACTAATGCCTAATGAATTCCAAATAGATGACTGAACTAACAAAAGGACTAAAGAAAATGTTGGTCAATATACACATATATATACGTATACATATATATATGTATATATATGTTTTCTTGGAATGAAGACAACCTAAACAAAGGGAGAGGAAAATAAAATCTGATTCAAATAGAAATCTTAAAAAAAAGAGAGAGAAAGTTTACATTAAAAATTTTAACCTCTAAAAAAAAAAAAAATTAACCTCTAAATTCCAAAACCTTTATAATAGGGACTAAAAGCAAACAACAAATGGGAGGGAGGAGAGGCTTTGTAACAAACATGAAATATGTATAAAAGGCCCTTACCTATCAAGAAAAAAGAGAAATGCTTAAATAAAAATGGATGAAAAAACTGACAAGATAAAATAGGAAATACATAGGTCCAAAAAAGGCAGCATGAACCAACAGTCAAAACTACATTATTAATCTAGAATAGCAGTTTTTTACTATTTTTGCTATTTTACTTGGCCTACAGATCCCCAGGGGTCCCTTAAACTCTTCTGGGGAGACCTCTAGGTCAGTACTACCTTCAAAACAATATTAAGATATTATTTGCCTTTTTTACTGTGGTGACATTTGCACTGTTGGTAAAAACAACAACAAACCTTGGTGGGTCAAACTGCTGATGCCTTAGCATGAATCAAGAGAGGCAAAAAACTATACTAGTTGTCAATATATGTTCCACACAATGACTTACTATGAAATGAAAAAAACAAACGAAAGCTCAATTCTGGAGTAAAACTTGAATTTATCACTGATGGTATGACAAATTCTTAAGAGTCAGATTTTTCTGATATGATTAGTGTTAATATTAATGAATGCAACCTAAAATTTTAATATAACAAAATATGTCAACATTTGGGACATGTGTGTAATTCAGTAAGCCAGTATTTACCAAATGACCAACATAACGATGTTACAATATCATCCATGGGTAAGATATTCATTCAAAGTACAAGGCAAATCAATGGATTTTAATGTAACTGTATGCAAAATTCCTTGATATGGTTTCAGATTTCACACAAAACTAATCTTTAAAAACTACCACTTGTCAAGTTATGGTGAAGAACCAATTACAAATATCTATAATTTTTTGGAAAAAAAACTATTAAAATACCTGCCCTCCTTTTCCTACAACAAATGTGTAAAGCCATCTTTTTATCTACTAAGCAAAACCACACTGAATAGAGACACAATGAATGCAGATATCTAGCCGTCCTCTACTACACCAGACACTGAGTTTTGCTAAACAGGGACTTCCCTCGTGGTCCAGTGGTTAAGACTCCACGCTTCTATTGCAGGAGCAGAGGTTCAATCCCTTGGTCGGGGAGCTACGATCCCACAGGCCACACAGTGTGGCCAAAAAGATGTGCTGAACAAGGTCAAAAAATGCTGCTCTTCCCATTATATTTGCTTTTGTTTTGGCAAGTTATTTTTCATAAAAAGGACATGTTAACATGCAGTAAGTTTATTGTTATTTTAAAATGAATTAGTACTTTCTAAATTTCTCAGTTTTAACTTCTAATCCAGTAACTAGTAACAGATATAACTCACATATATAAAATCTCAACAGTGACCTCAACAACTTTTGAGAGTGCAAATAAAGTGATTCTAAGGCCAAAAACTTGAGAAATACTGGTCTAAGGTATTAACGCACACGTCAGAAGTCTTTTATATGTACTGCCAAATTTTCTATCAAATTTGTAAAGGCAAAATAATAATAATAATAATAATATCTAATATCGAGGTCTATAAAGATGTAGAGAAACTCATTCTCATACACTGCTGAAAGAAAAGTAAACTGAAAAGATAATTTTGAAGGCCAATTTGGCAATACATATCAAAAACCTTTTTAAAAAGTGAAAAAGCTTGGAATCAGCAATTCTGCTTCCAGGAATCTATTTGAAGGAAAAATTAAAGATGTGATAGTAATTGTTTTACTGCGAGGGCTAAACAGCTGCAATACTTTATGATTAAATAAATTGGAAATGATTTAAATTAGAGAAAGAATTCAGCCATGACAAATTACGTTGTGTATGAAAAACTACTAACTTAATACATTATAAAATTTTTAAAATAGGTTATAATACTGTACATATAGCAGAAATTTAATTTTATATATCTGAAAGAATATGCCAAGGTATTAACAAATAAGTACTAATAAGGCTTGCTTTGTTATATTTGCTTATCTATATTTTTTTTCTTTAAGCTTCATTAGTTTTTTTAATTAACAAGTCAAGTTTTATTGTTGTTTAGTCGTTAAGTCCTGTCGGACTCTTAGCCCACCAGGCTCCTCTGTCCATGGGATTCTCCAGGTAAGAATACTGGAGTGGTTGCCATTTTCTTCTCCAGGGGACCTTCCCGACCCGTGGATGGAACCTACGTCTCCTGCATTGGCAGGTGGATTCTTTACCACTGAGTCACCTGGGAAGCCCACCAAATGTCATACATTGCTTAATAACAAGTAAAATAATATAAAGCTATATAAGAGTTATCACTCCCATCTCCCTAAAAACACATCCTGTCCAATTCCATCCCCCCTGGCAGCCAATGTTAACAGCCTAATAGTGCACATTCATTCACACTTTATCTTGTAACAAAGAGACAAACATTTATTCACATGCTTGATCAACAGATATACTGGTGTCCCTTGTTTATGCACTTTGCTTATTTTTACAAAAATGGGACAATACAATACCACGGTATTTTTCTGTTTGTTAAGATATCATGGATACATCCAGGTAAAAGATAGAGATTTGACTCATTCTTTTTATTTTTACTTATTTTTTTAAATAGCTGTGTAATACTTTATAAAATGTATACATATCAGAATTTACTCAAAATTTCCCACAGGTTATAAAGGTGGTTTGCAGATTTTTAGTATTGCAAGCAATGCTGCAATAAACATCCTAGAACATATATCCTTACATTCTGGCATTTTTTTTAATACACAGAGTTCCAAAAGTGAGCTTGCTGACTATACACATACTTTTAATTAGTTGCATTACTCACCAGTCACGTATGAGATCCCATATTCTCATTAACAACGGATATAATTTTTGCTAATCTGATAGTAACTGACTGTTATTTTAATTTGCATTTTCCCATCTGTTAGGAGGATTGAGGTTTTCATTTATTGACCATTTATATTTCTTCTTCTACTATATCCATCCTTTTCCCATTTTTCTATTGCTGTCATATTTCATGCAAATAATCTTCCTTAAAGTTAGAATCACAGCTCACAAGAATAAATTCCAAATGTATCGAAGGTTTAAATGAACAAAAATAAAACAATCAAACTATTAACAGAATATGTAGAATATCTGTATAAACTTGCTATCAGAGGATTTTCTTGATTAAGATAGAAAACTCAGAAGCAACAAAGGAAAGATAAATATTTGTCTCCATTACAGTTTTCTGTAACTTTTTGCTTTTAAATCATGAACAGGCATTACTTTAAGAATTTTTTTTTAGAAAACTGTCAGCAGATGCCAACAATACTATCTTTATTCCAAAGTTCTATGATAAGATATGTCAAGAACTTCATTAGACACAGGGACTGAGCTCAGAGAAGTACGAAACCAAACACAACTGCTTTCAACATTGCTACTACCCTACTAGAAGCTTTAACTGGAATTCTAAACTCCCAGCTCCTATTTTTCTGTATCCTGTTCACCCATTACTGTTCTCTCCAGTAGCATGTTTATGTTAAGGTGATTTATCTAAATACAGAGTCTTGATTGGACACTCTGTCCAAGTATTCTTCTACCCCTATTACATATGAGAAGGCTATGAAAATAAAACCTTGTGCAAAAGGGCACATTTTGTTATATTACTCACGTATATGACACAGTAAAAGAGATGGTAACTCACCTAAATGGGGAAACAGATCAGTGTCCAACTGATGTTTCTGGGTGCACAGTTTCACCAGTCTCTGCAGTCGACTTATACAAGAGAAGTGTGGAGAGAAGGCTGTGGCTTTCATGAGGACCCGGTCAGTCCTGGGCGGGTCCACGGCGGGAGCCCTACTGGATGGCAGGAGGGGCAGAGGCCTCTTGTGAGACAACTGCCTCGCTTGTGCTATAGTGTGTGTGGTGGGGGCCACTCCCTGCATTGGTAGGCTGGTGTTCTGAGGTTGAGGTGACTTGCAGACTACACCCTGCGGGGGCGCTGGAGGTTTCAAAGTGGGTAAAGGTGACAGGTGGGAGTGCTGCTGCGGAGGCTGCTGCTGAGAAGGGGCAGGAGGGGGACTAAAGTGCTCTTGTCGAACTTTTAAAATCTCTGTCTCTCTCTGGCGCTGCCGATTCTGGGCCAACTTGCTCTGCAACTTCTTTCTCACAGTTGCCCCTTTCTTTAGGTCATCATCTTCCTCGTTGAAAGCAAAGGGGTCTTCCAACTCGGTTTCCAGGTAGTGGACAGGGACCCTTGCCCCTGGTGGAGAGAGGGACATTCCATCCAGTCCATTGGGCATCTTCAAGGCCAGCGTGGGCACTGTCAGGCTAAAGGCCATGGTATCCATCTGGTGCCTGACCTTGACCTCATCTATAGGGTCATTCTTTTTCTTCCTCTCTTTTTTCGGGATAAAGCCAAGTACCTGCAAGTGGCTGTTGCAGTACCTATAAAAACACACACATACACAGGAGACTGTTCCTAATACATCTTCAGAAAAGTAGAATACAAAGCTACATATCATAAAATGTGAATCCTTGTATGCTCAAAATGCATGACTGTGATAACTCTGCATTCGTGGATGTAATTTATACAACTTCCATTACCCTCAAGCAATCCGCAAAGTCTGTGCAGTTTTGCTACAGCAAATAAATGAATTGCACATGAGAAGAGGCTGCCAGACAGAAAAAAGTCATTCAAATAGTGAGTGGTCCTGGATAAACACCTAGCTATTGGTTCTCACATAAGGCTTTGTTATTCTCTACTCGTAGCATACAAAGTATCTCGTCTAAAGGATCTAAAGGATTACTTAAAATTCTCTTCTAGAGAAAAAAATCACATGTCTCAATGCCATTCAAGTATTGGAGATTCACAAAGATCTTACGACATAACACTTAAGAATGTCAAATGTAGCCAGGACATGGAAGCAACCTAGATGCCCATCAGCAGATGAATGGATGAGGAAGCTGTGGTACATATACACCATGGAATATTACTCAGCCATTAAAAAGAATTCATTTGAATCAGTTCTAATGAGATGGATGAAACTGGAGCCCATTATACAGAGCGAAGTAAGCCAGAAAGATAAAGACCATTACAGTATACTAACACATATATATGGAATTTAGAAAGATGGTAACGATAACCCTATATGCAAAACAGAAAAAGAGACTCCTATGTATAGAACAGACTTGTGGACTCTGGGAGAAGGCGAGGGTGGGATGTTTCAAGAGAACAGCATTGAAACACGTATATTATCTAGGGTGAAACAGTTCACCAGCCCAGGTTGGGTGCGTGAGACAAGTGCTCGGGCCTGGTGCACTGGGAAGACCCAGAGGGATTGGGTGGAGAGGGAGGTGGGAGGGGGGACCGGGATGGGGAATACATGTAAAAAAAAAAAAAAGATACACTATGGTTGTGAAAAAATAAATTAAAAAAAAAAAAAAAAAGAATGTCAAATGTCTACTGTATGTTCTATACACACACACACAGAAGAGGAGAAAATAATAAAACTAGTTAGTGCAATTACAGATTAAATGAGTTTCTCAACAGCCATGTGTTGAGTACATGAATTATCTCTTCTAATTTCTACCTGCAATAGGTACCAAAATAATGCCCTTTATACAGATGAGGAAGCTAAATTTTATATAAATTAACTTACCCCAAACCACCTATACAGAAAGTGACAGAGCTAAGACTTAAACTAAATAATCAAAGCTCATTTAGCACTGGGAACAATATTTAATATCCTGTGATAAACTATAGTGGAAAGGAACATAAAACAGAATGCATATATGTATAACTCAATCACTGTGTTGTACCGCAGAAATTAACATGTAAATCAACTATACTTCAATTTAAAAAATAGAAGAAAAATATCAAAGCTCTTGAAGACTCTTATTAAGAATGCATGTAATTTGAATAAAATTACACTGAAAACCTATAGAGGTTTCTAACCAATAGAAAAGTCATTTGTCATTTAGTTGCTAAGTCATGCCTGACTCTTTGCAACTCCATAGACTGTAGCCCACCAGGCTCCTGCATCCATGCCATATTTTCCAGGCAAGAATATTGGAGTGGGTTGCCATTTCCTTCTCTAGGAAATAGAAAAGTAGTATTTCCCAAACTGGTATAACTCACGCAGTTCTAAGGTATGCTGACTAGTATGCCATAAAGACAGTATGCCATGCTTAAATAAATTTGGAAAAATGCTGGCTTGGACAGAGAGATATAATAATTTTATCATTTGTTTCTGCTGAACAATCTCTCAAAGCATCTTGTATGATATGTGCATTATACTCCAAGGGTAGAAATGTACCCATGCGGCACTGTTTCGCAAACTTATTTAAAATGGCACCTATTTTTATTGCAGTATATCTCCATAGAACACAGCTTGGGAAAAAAGCAATAAAGTAAATAATGTCAATTCCCAAACTCACTGGGCTCCAACAGAAAAGTGTTTTAATAACTGCTAAAAACATAGATTCACCAAAAATGAGGACACATGGTTTTGCTGCTTTGTCTCACTCTTTCATTGCAAACACATTAAGAAAAAGTCTTCTGGACTGTAAAGAGACTCTGCACTGCACATGTATGTGTGTGTAACCAGCAGGTTTGAGCTAGGTCCTACCTACTGTAAATAGAAAAGATTCATAAAACTACAGCTAGTAAGGAAAAGGGTTTTAGGTATAAACGTATTAAGCTTCCCAACAAAGTGTTGCTGGCTTTTGTTTGTTTTCTATTCATTTTCAAATTGACAAAAGGATTAGTATTTTTAGAGAGGAGTAATGAAGTGGGCTTTTTTAAATTTAGAAATCAAGCTGCTCTGCTCATTGACATGGGCCGTCTAGACTGGTAAATGAGGCTACTATTCATGCATCACCTAACGCAGCAGAGGCGAATCCACAGGGACAGTCTTCCTTCAACCCCACCCTCGACCCACTCCAGCCACTGTCACACTGTGACCACATAACTAGAATCACAACAGCTTACTTAGTTATGAACAGCATTTAAAGTAAGTACGTATTTAAAGTAAGTATGTAAATATGAATCCCCAGTCAAAAAGAATACAGGGAAATGCCTGCAAATGTGTTCCTTTGGGGGGCTGAAAATGTAAAATTAGACTATGTTGATAGTTACACACTCCTGTAAAGACATTAGAAAATACTGAACTATATACTTCAAATGGGTAACTTGACTCATATATGAATTATATCTTAAGCTGTTTTAGAAAAGAATATAGGAAACAAGAAAATTTCTTGGTAAGTACATACTACTAAATAAATATATATATAAAAAACTATACCAAACTTAAATTTACAATACTATATAAAATAACCAACTTAATATAACCATTTATCTCTGAAATATCAAGGCTACAGTATGAGGCCTTAGCTTCCCACTGTAAAAGTATATTAGAAAAGGGACATTACTTTTTAATTATACCAGTACTTCTACCTGAACTTAACACTCTTCTATCCAAAAGATGGAATTTCATAAGCTAGCATTTATAATACACACCAGGTAAGTTATGCACTTATTCTACCTAACTACTGACCAGATATTTTGGTCAACTAAAAGTCCTTGGGAATTTGTTTTCTAAAACTATACATAAAAACATTTCAAATCCCTAAGTGTCCAAGAAGTAACTGCCTTAACAATGATAAAAGCTTATTTTCAAAAGAATATTAATCTTTTCTACATTGTGTCATATAGTATAGTTACAACTATTACATTTACATACAGGTAAATGTATTCAACCTGGGTTTCTTGAGGTTAAACGTAAGAATATTACTTCCTACTAACATCTACTTTAATCTGTTTTCAAACAGCCCTACAACAACAAAAACACAAAAATATTAATAGCATTTGTGTTCATATGGTCTTGGACCAATTTTGAAAAAATATATAACTCAGTACTTTTTAAGTCCAGATTCTCTTGACACAGCAACACAAAAGTCCTTTCCTTTCTCGCTCTTAAAAAAAAAAAAAAGAAAATTACTTCGAATATAAAGGTGAAGACATATTAAATTAATTCAGATAATTAATATTTTGGAGAAATTCAGAGTGACTCTCAATTTACTTCTTGCTATTTGCTATTAAGATAATACTTGCTTCAGCTGAATTGAAAAAAAAAATCCAAGGTTGACAAAAATCACACCTCTGATAAACTGAATTTAAGACAAAACTATAGACATGTGATTATAATGGATCTTGACGTGAAAAAAGAAATCCAAGTCCACTCATTCTTCAAGTTAAAAAGGGGTAAGAGTAAGAAATTATTTTTAGTCAGCTAAAACCAACTGGACAGACATGCTTAGCCTAATACACTGGTACCTTTCTCACCTGAGATTAAAGTTTTATCCCTTTCCTCACTAAACAGCTGTTTCTAACTTTCAGGTATTGTAATTTGAAACCTGAAGTGCTCATTAGATATTCTAAGAGAGTATTTCCAAATCACCACATTATACTGTACTCATTTTGGTGAGATATTTATCAACACAAATTATTTATTTCACCCTATAAGTTGCTCACCATGACATACAAAATACATGATTCCTTTTCAACCGATTTACACAGATGACATTTGTTTACATATAGGAACAAAAAATAAAGGTTGTATATGTATTTTTTAAATGTAGAAATAAAAAGTTCAAAATTTCTACCTAAAGACAAGTATTTGAAACTTTCAGGAAAAGAAGCATGCATCTCTCTGTAATATTCTACAATGATCAACAGGGTTTCTGGAGAAGTGACAAAAAGAGACATTAAAAAAAGAGATTATATGTGAAATACAGTATAAATTTTTCTAAGGATATGAAAGATGAATAATCAGCATAAAACTCCTTTAAAAACATCTCATTATTTTCTTTAACTCAGAAAAGTATAAATTCATAATCCTAGTCATAAAGCCTACTTTACTATGAAAATGAAGGTTCTAAATTATAGTAAACATAGTTTATATGGAACTCTTTTTAACCAAAAGAAGCCTGAGAGGAAATAAATCTTCTGAATGATTCAAGTAATCATTCTTTTGAATAATGCTTTTTCAATAAGTATATATCATTTGCTACCTTTCAAGTGCAGATTTAAAAATTCCAAAATTATTATTATTAACTATAACACCAAAGTAGTTCCTATCATTTATCTCATTTAGGCTGATGAAATACTAAGTAGAAAAATCAGAAAACACTTTCTAAGGCTGTAAACCAAGCACATCAGTACCAAGACGTCAAGCAAAAAAAAAAATTTTTACACGCTTAAACATACTTCACAAAGAAATCGCCAAAGTTACTACTCCATTTCCTAAAAATTGCCATCTCTCATCTTTAGAACCATCCTAAAGTTTACTTAGATTAACCCCTGAACTCAACAATTAAAGCCATCATATCCTACATCAAACAAAACAGAAGCAACTTCCGAGCTTGTTGATTCAATCAGAGGCTGCTCCCCACTGTCAGCGCTTACCTGCGGTCCTCCGATTTAGGAATGGGGTTGGTGCAGCGCTGGCTGTTATACTTGGCCACATATTCACATTGCTTGAAGGGGGCAGTCTTGTCCTCCAGAACGTGTCTGATACAGAAAGCGTAGCCGTTGAGTCGCCGCTGCTTGCACAGTTTGGGGCTATATGAGCACAAGGGCTTATTGTCAACCTCAGAGAAGTGTATATGTTTCCCTTCATACATCACGTGACTCTATTCCTTGTGAACATCAGCTAAAAGACCACCACAAAAAAAGAAACCCAAATGATAAATCAGAGAGTATAAGGCAGGTTTAAGTTGAGAATTTCACTGAGGGACTTCGGGCCCCACAGCCATACCTGATTTTAAATCTTCTGCACCATAGCAATGTTAAGAGAACCCCAAGGATACCAGTTTGGAATGCTGCAGAATCAAGATGAAGCAGATTGTCTACAAAAATATCAAAAGGCCTAGTTAACAAACAGAAATAAGCAAAGCTTGCTCACCTGGGAAATAAAATTCTAGGGTACCACTCTTCCTAATGGGATGGATTCTTCACTGTAACCCAACATCCCAGTATTGAATTCAAATAATAAGACATAAAACATTAAGTTAACCTACCACTCCAAACTGAACTAAACAATTTTTGCTTTAAGCCTTGTAAATACCTCAAAATATCAGGGTTCTTCCACCAAATTCATGTTATAAGGTGGCGGGTCCTTTTTTTTTTTTCTTTACTGATGGTTTCACCTTATGCTGATTTTCAGAACTCAAATCTCTTTAAAATGGCAATGGAATGAGCTCTACAAACCCAAAACTTCCCCCAGAAATTCTACATTTTCTGATGTGTTGGCAAAATATTTAGCAATTTGTAACAAATATTTTATGAAATATTAAAAAAGAACAAATCCCTGTTTTTTAAGTTATTTTTCCCTCTAATACTCCCCCCTACACCTGTCCCATCCAGACTATAGCCTTGAGCCCAAAGACTAGTCACCACCACATTTCCACCATTCAGTTGAGTGCTCTGCACCACAGAATGCTCCCAATTACACCAGACAGTATAATTACCACGGCTGATGAGTCTCTGGAAGTTTAATAAGAAGATGGAAGAAATCACAGCAGTCACTACCCATCAACACACAAAAGGTCTAGGAGTTAACATGTGTGATAACACCATTCCGTCCACAGTGAAACTAAAACAACTCATCAGTTACATCAGGCCACACGGGGCTGCTGCGGTCCAGCCTGCTTGCTCTACACTCCAAAATCACCGACAGAGATGATGAACAGCTCAGACACCAGCTACAGAGAACCTCAAGAAGTACTCTCCCGTTTACGCAACTGAATAAAAAACTCCTTACATCAGTGAATGCCGAGATACACAAATCCCTGAAGAGTCAGAAGATAGGTTTGCTTAAGTTAGAGATCTGCCAAGATAACTACAGCATTTACCTTGGACAAATCATTTAACCTTGGTTTTCCCATCTGTAAAATAGAGATAATATTAGTAGCTACATTATGAGGTTGCTACAGGGATCAAATCACACAAAGCATGCAACACACTAAGTACCATGCCTTGAACAAATGAGAGTTATTACTCATAAAGTTATTATTACTACATTTTACCTGCTGATGATAAAGGTAGAGAATTTATATTACCTTTAAGAAGGATTTCACTTACATCAGTAGAAAAAAATCTGAAATATTAACTTGGGTAATAAAAAAAAAAAAAATCACACATTACCGAGTAAACCTAATCATGCATCAATGTAAAACAAAAATAAGAACTTTGCCTTTTCACTATATTATGAGGCAAGGAAGAAAAGTTGGACTAAAAATTTAAATTCAGCTGCCCTGAAGGTCTGGATATTCAGGACAGGAAATTATTTCAAAGCAAACCCATGCTGTTTCATTTTTACACTCTCTTTGGCCTGCTCATCCACCTGGTAAACACACATCTTTCATGAATTAGTTAAGTAAATCTATATGAACTTCAGAAAATAAATACGCTGGATATAACTAACTGAAAAAAGGAATTTACATAATCAATTTGATTGCCATTATGAAAAAAAGCAGCCTATATATCTAGATGTATGAGAATATTTTATAAATCACATGAAGGGTAACATTCACTTTATACTCTGAATATCCTAGGTGGCATCATGTCTATTAAGACTGATGATTCCCCCTTGCTTGCCAATGTTCATGCATCCTTTTTCCCTATTTGAATTGGCTAGAACTATTGAAACAATCTTAATAACAGCAGTCACTGTTACTCCTAATTTTAAACAAGAATTGTTTCCAGTCAATGGCAGTAAAATGCTGACTTCTGTGTTATATTAAGGAAGTATGAAGTAATTCCTACTTTAAGAAAAAAACAAACTCGGAATTGACAGCTAACTTTTTACCAAATTCTTTCTCAGTTTCTAGGGAAATGATCACTTTTCTCTTGCACTTTTAAAAATATGTGCTAAAAATATTTAATATTTAGTATCCTGATACTGTACTCTTCTTACACTCCTGGAATAAAAGCAACCTGGTCATCACGCATTATTCTTCCAATGTATGACTGGGCTATATTTGCTAATATTGAGGATTTTTGTATTTTGAGACTGTCTATAGAGTTTTTTCTATGTGTGTGCCTTGGCAGAATCAGGTATTAATATTTTAAAAAACAATTTATAAAATCTATGTTCCTGAACAAGTTAAAAATCACTGCAGTTGTAACGTTCCTTAGAAGGTTGCCTGGGCAGTGTTTTGTGCAGATCAGGTTTTCAAATTTACCTGTATACAATTTAGCAATGTGACCTCTTATACTTAATTTCCTAAATATCTGTGACTCATTCTTGTATTCTATGTATGTCCATATACATTTGTGATATTTGTGCTTTCCCCTTTCGTTCATGATTGGGTTCAACAGGAGTTTATCTATTTAATATTTTTACCAATATACTTCCCCCCGCAAAAAGAAGAAAAAAAAAAAAAACTTGGAATTATCAGCACCTCCATGTATTTTCTAATTCATCAATTTCTACTTTTGTATTTGTTAATTCTTTCTACTTTCTTTCCACTCTTCTCATTATATTTTTTAACTTCTTGGGCTTAATTTTTTTATTTTCATTCTTTTCTTGCTTAATAATTTGTTTACATCTATGAATTTTCCTGAGTAGTGTTTTAATCATATCCCATAGGTAGTAACACACATACTAATTATCAATACTTTCTAGTTGATTTGGATTTTACTTTTTAATTTCTCCTTTGACCCAAGAGTTATCTAACATTTTCGGATGGCAGAGTTTTAGGCTTCCCTTTGTTTTAGTTCTAGTTAACAGTAAGGACCACTGGGAATTCCCTGGCAGTCCAGTGGTTAGGACTCCATGCTTCCACTGAAAGGAACCCAGGTTGGATCCTTGGTCGGGGAACTAAGATTCCACACACACACACACACACACACACACACACACACACACACACACACACACACGAAAAAGGAGCATACTGGTGTCTGACTGATTCCCTGGGCCCAGCATAGGACCAAGCTTCCAGAGCCCTGAAGACAAGGGGGTAACACTCCAAAACACGGACTTATTTTCCATCCCACCTTCACTGACCAAGCAACTGCCAAGAACAAAGGCTGCCTCCAGACCCCTAGCAAAAAAATGAGGTACTTCCTCACAAATGGATAGCTTCTCTGAGGGGTGCACAAGTGTATCTGGGGAGAACTCAAACAAGTTGAGGAACGCCTGTCCTAGGAGACTGGAGAGATACCACAGAAGAATCTGGATGCTGTGAAGGAGGTTAACGGTTCAGGCAGAGAGAGCAGCTGCTGAGATTACTAGGAAGCTGGAGAAACAGGAGAAGAAACACTTGAAGGAAACAGCTGGCTGCAACTGCCCTCCCATCATCAGAAAACAGCAGCTGTGTGGAGAAGGAGTGTAAGGAAAGAGAGGTGCTGGGACCTTGCAGAGAGCCCAGAGAGCTGGCCGGAACACACTCTGGTTCCCTGGGCTCGGCTGCCTCCCAGGAGGCTAGGACCCCAATGAAGAAAAAGCCCCAGGAGACTCCTCGGGATAATGAAATGAAAGACCTATCTCTTTTTCCAAACCCAAGAAGAAGAAATCTTTTTCCAAGGAGAAGCTGGTTAGTAGCGATCTTGAAGACACAGCTAGCAGTGGAAGTCTTCCCAGGAGGAAGACATCTTTCCCCAAAGAGGAACCAGTTAGCGACCCTGAACTGTCAGAAACAAAAGTGTCCCCAAGAAAAAAGAGGAAATTCTCTTCCATGGAGGAGCCATTCAAGCAGAGGGGGGCCTTCAGAGTCTGCTGGCAGCAAGAAAAGCAGCTCTAAGAAGTTCCAAAAGCTATGCCAGGAAGATCGTAAGATCGTGGGGGGCATAACCCACGGAGATATTTCTCAAATCATCCCTTGTATTCTAATAAAAACAAACTTCACAAGGAAAAAAGAAAAAGAAAGAGCATAACCTGCATATAGCTCTGATTTTGGATTTGACTGCATTTTTATTTGGGGACTAATAGGTGCTTCTGGAAAAAAGCATTTGTTGTTTCTAGGGTATCTTGCTAGTTACACCATATATCATGCTATTAACATTCACTGTTATTTAGTTTGCTTTTTATGTCTACCAAGGGATGAAACAAAACCTCCAACTATAACCTTATTTTTCCTTGTATTTATTTTATAAATTTTAAAGCTATATTATTTGATACAGCGATTTCATGACCATTAGACTGTCACTCTTTATCATTAGAAAAGGCAACTGATGTTATTTGTCTTGAACTCAACCTTGTCTGATGTTAGTATCTGGACTTCATTTTTTGGACCTGAAATCACTGGTTAAGTCTTTGCCTATCCTTTTACTCTCAAGTTTTCTGAAGCACTATTTAAGATCACAGGTCAACAAACTCTGGCTTATAAGACAAATCTGACCCATTGCCTGTTTTGTAAATAAAGTTTTATTGGAACATTGTCCTGTTCATTCATTTGTATATTGTATATGATTGCTTCCATGTTGTAACAGGAGAAGTGAGTAGCTCTAACAGACTGTATGGCCATAAAGCCTAAGTATTTACTAAAATATTACTTGCTGGTCCCTTTGTCAATGCATCTCTTACCAGGGGTTTTTTTTTTCCCCCTCCAATCGAGTCATTTTCTTTTAATGAGTTCATCCAATTTATAATTTAATATTTACTTACATGACAAATGTT